TGTGTGTGTGTGTGTGTGTGTGTGTGTGTGTGTGTGTGTGTGTGTGTGTTGGTGTTCCAGCTGAAGTTTTGTTTTGGTCAAGGACACAATTCTCTGCCGTCTACAAGAATGAAGAGAAGCCATTTGATTGGTTACTTCATAGCTCATTACAACACACACATATGCATGCACAAAAACACACTCACAAAAGCACACAACCGCACAAGGGCACAGCTGAAGTGGATGTTTCTTTTAAAGACAGTTTTTGTGTCCCTCTATAACCAAACAACCCCTATTAGACACGACAACCCTGAGCTTCATTTATCAAACGATATGTGAATGTATTTGAGAATCTTGGACCAGCGTTTAATCATGATGCAACGTCTCATATTGACAGATGATACGATAGAGAGCCGCTCCGGGAGTGTTTTATGAGACTATCAAAGAGGTACATCAATGCAGCAAAAGATACAGATTTCAAAGAAGCATTGATGCTATTTTCATCACAAGCAAACACACTCTGATCAACTTATGTTTGAGAAGCCAGAGAAGGGTTTCCATTTTCTCTGAGGATTATATACTTGATTACACAGTTTTATGACACTGCTGATGCTTGAAGTGTTACAATCTTAATGGCCATTGCCTCAGAAGCGTTAGCATCTCCCACATTAAAAAGTGGCCGCGCAGACTCGAAACCGCTTCTAATCATTTCACCACCCAAATTATTGGTTTGGTGAATTTCTTAATCTGCACATTTGTCGTCGTACCCCAAGTCACCCTGATACCCATTTCTGCTGTGACTTAACTTAAAGTAAATCCAGTTACACAAGTTGACTGTTGTATCCATGAATTTAATGGACAAAAGACGAGGTGTTCAAACAAATAGTACATTAAACCTGCTCATCCAATGCATGTGCAAATATTTTGGCACTTTATTGGACTCTTGCTTGAATGTATTAATTTGTTTTGTCCACAATTTGTCCTCAATTGGTCCACACCCACACCTCCTCACAAACCTGCAGGAGGAAGGTGCCAGATTTTGAACAGCAGAGGGACGGGGAAAACATAGAAACACACAATGCTATAACAGCTGGTTCTCCGCCGCTTTGTATCAATGCTTAAGAGTGCCAAATACCTTTTAGCCCGTTGTGTCTATGATCTGGGAACGAGAACAAAGACCTTTTAGAGAAGAGAATGTTAAGCCTCAAACTCCTCTGAAGTGTTCCTGCATTCACACCTTTTTCAAGCTGTCAGACACCACTGATTGTGTCGTTTGCAGACATTGACTCACGATGTTCCTCACCTTCTGCGCACATTTCACAATTGCTTAGTGAGTGATGTATTTGATTTTCATATTTCACTGTCCATCAGTCAAGTGCCTGTACATTAGTCCCTGCAAAGTCAACAACAAACGATACCACAAGTGCAAAACTTAAGTGGTTTAACTGAATGTTGATGCTTGGCATTCTTTCGTGGGCAAATTTCCTCTCTGAAGTTAACATTTTTTAGAAAGGACTTTTACTTGTAAGGGAGTATTGTTAGATGGTAGTATTAGTACCTTTACTGAGGATCTGAGTACTTCCTCTATCGCTCCAAAAGCCTCATCAAAGTCAAAACACAGCCAACAACAGAACAAACAAATCCTTGAATCTGCTCTAAATATATTTTACTGATCTGAGTCTATAAATATAAAATTCATACAGAATCACATGAAGGGAGAGAGATTCGCATTTCTAGCTGATCACCAGTCTGCAGAGCAACGGGCACAAAGGAGATTATATTAAAGATGCAGAACTGTGCATAATGTATAACTAAGCTCACTACTCTGGAAAGCTGAGGAAAAGAAGAAGGAGAGGGATGGCTTGCTCACTCACATTATTTGTTTCATAATAAATCTGTAAATTATGTAAATGCATGCATGCACGCATGTGCAGACACTGACAAAGGCAATTATCTGTGCATGTCAAGTCAGCAATGTCACTGAGACGAGAGAGAGAGAGAGAGAGAGAGAGAGAGAGAGAGAGAGAGAGAGAGTGTTTAGTTTTCTGATGAATTTCTTTATGGGAGAGTTGTTTTTATGGAGTTTGGGTTTTGTTTCTCACAGGTTGATGTGCTTTTGCTGGCAGAGGCCAGATTCAGTCTTATTCACATTTCACTGGTTTGTAAAGAAGACGAGAGGAGAGAGATGAACGTTGAAGCGGATAGAAGAGGAGAAGAGAAGAGAGGACGGTGAAAAGACACAAGCCACGAAGAGAGATGGAAAGAACAGACAAGAGCATATAGAAGCTAAGAGATGAGCTGAGAAGAAAGGAGGGGATATGAAGAGAGATAGAGAAGGAACAGTGCAGACCAATAAACCAATACAGCCTAGCTTAGCGTAGCATGAATACTGAAGGCAGAAGGAAACAGCCAGCATAATAAATATGCCTACCATCACTTCTAAAGATGACCGATTAGAGAAATAGTTTGACACTTTGATGAAAAGACTTATTTGCTATCTTAGAGCTAGACGAGAAGATCGACAGCCCTCTCCTAGCAGAGCCAGCAGGCCGTTAGCTTAGCCCAGCATGCAGTCTGGGGAATAAAGGAGCAGAAAAAGAAGGGAAATAAAGACAGAAGAGGTATAAGGGGAGGTGAACATGTGAGAAGAGGAGAGAGGGGAAAGGAGGAGGTGAGGCGTTTGGAGACAAGAGGAGGCATTGGAAGTGCAGACGAGCAGTTGTTGAGGAGTAATATATATCACTGCACGAACCAGAGCTTTGCGACAAATAAGAATGCACTACACACATACACAATTCCTTTATATCATTGCAGGTACGAATATCAATGGCTCTGTCAACCCCTGGGTTTAAGTCTGGCTTTATGTGGAACAGATCTGTTTGTGTTACCCACACTCCATTTGTTGTAGCATTAGATATAAATCTCGGTGCAGATTTGCCCTTGTGTTGTATCTTAGTAGTAATACAACGTCTCTGAGTTGTGATCTCGTGCTTTGTTTAAACTGAGGCACACTGTAAATCCTCGTCTTACTCCCCAGCTGGTGTCCGTGCAAGTTCACAGGTCCTGAAGTTGAACAATGTGTTTCTCTGAGTGTTATGAAAGTCTCTGATCAGAGTTTTTCGGTCTACTTTTTTCAGTTTTTTTTTCAGAAAGAGCCATGAGGGTGTCTCTGATTGTTTGTTTTTCTGTGCAACACTGTTTGCAATGTTGTGTTCATGGCAATTATCCACTGTTTAGGGCAAACACAGCCCCGACAGTCCTCTGTGAAGAACTGCAGTGTGTGCTTGAACGCCATGAGCAGCTGTAGAAGTCAAACAAGCATATTTGGGTGTTAATAGATATGCGGTTTTGAACATTCGCTGACTCTATTCGGGTATACCTCCATAATTAAAGTAGGAAGTCATTTTGTTCGGCAAAACTTTTCGGATTCCGTCCTTTAAGATGTGACGATTTGCAACTCTTTTGTGTGTGTTTTGAAACTAAACTGATCTTTTTGGTCAGACCACACAAGCTATTTAAACACATCATTTTGGGCTTAGTTGTACATTTGTTATTTTACAATTTAATAATTAGTTTCAGGAGAAATTAATTTCTGAATGAAACCCCAAGGTGAACTCCCTTTCCTCTTCCTTCTCAGTTTGTTGCTATTTTTCTACTTTTTTCCTTCTTGTCGCTCTCTCTCTGTGTTTGTTTCCCTCGCTCGCTCTTTAACAGATGTTGTATCTGTGTGTGTTGCAGGATCACTCTGAACGGGATGAAGGTGTCGAGGCCAGACGTTCGCATCGGCCGCTACAGAATGATTAAACACGAGAGAGACAAACACAACGAGCCCAACCCACAGAGGTACTGCATCATTGTCCAAACTCGTTCTCCTGCTTCACATTTGGATCGATCGCGCTGCTTTTGTTTTGTAGCTGCACAGTTTTCACAGATTTCTTTCCAACTTTTCCTCTCCATTTGAGAGAATTATGATTATGTTGCACTGCAAAGGGCACACTATCAATAATGTGTCCTTATAATTAGAGTTGGCTACGGATAAATATACTGAAACATGAGCAACACAGGCAATAATAGTCCAGCAGTGAGAGGTAAAAGCAGTTAATTATGATTCTTGTCTTTGGTCGTCCATGTTATCTGCTTTGATTCTGTCCAGTTTTGCTAGAATTCAAATGTTAAAGGTCTATTTAACCTTTACGCAGTGATGGTTCAATGAGAGGCTTTGCCCTTTTTTTCGGTATTTTTTACATTTTGCACATTCACACCTGAGAGCTGCGTACCGGCACCCCTGCTGTTGGCCACTGAGCAGCTCCTCATAAGAAACTGCAAGTGAAATGATAATAGAATATAACGTTTTTTTATTATAGACCTATTTTGAAAACTGCATCACTGGGGCGATGTAGTGTATATCTAGCAGAGGGGATTTTAAAATACAGATGTCAAATTCTCCTTAATTCACCTTTACTTATTCAATTAACTATTCAATCATTGGGGCTGTAAATTGTATTCACTATGTTTCATTGTCTTCCACACACTGCCAGGAATTTCAGTATTATCTGTCTGGTGGGAGTCTGAATCCTTTTATTTATTGAATTTGTGTTGGTATAAATGTAATCAAATTTAAATATGTTGAGACAGGAATACTGGAATCATCCTATAGCATACCTGCCATGTGTTTGCTTTACAGTAGACCACAGCTTGGTGTTTCGTGTCACTGAAAGATTGTAAAATGTCAAGGACAAAACCTTTCCAATAAACCAAAAATTACTTTTCAGAGATACAGCTCAGGGGCTTAAATGTTGCTCTTTTGGCTACACCCATTTAAATTGCTTTTCAGATGAATGTGTAAAAATGTTTCCTGTATAAATGTGTTATTTTATGGTTTGATGAATGAGGCCCAATATGCAGAGATGAGCCCTCCTAGACACATTAATCACCAAGAGTATAGCACCTCACATTAAGCTGCTTAAACGTGGATTATCACTGTTTATTCGCCTCTAAGAGCCCCCCCGTTCTCATGGCTGGATAGACCAGGCTACGATGCCGCTCAACACAAAAAAACGATAGCTGCTGCAGCTGAGGCAGAGTGACGACATAGTGAACTCTGTTCCCGCCTTCAATATTGTTTTAGTTGTGTCTCTTGTGACAGGGTTCACAGTTGAGGTCTAGTTTAGTTGTGGCTTAAGATTAAAAATGAAAATCAGTAACAGCCAAACAACATGGGACATATTTGATTTGAATTTTGCATATAGGCACTTAAATTGCAGTGTGCAGCCATGCATTTGTGATTTGAAGGGTTTGATCCTGACATTAGAATAACTGATAAAATCCAGAGCTTGTGACTGAAAACACATGAGCGTGTTTTTCACATGCAACAAGCATCTGCTGATTATGAGAAAGATCTCTTTATATGATGTCAAACACCTTCACAGGCAGGTGCTTGTTTTGCTTCACTACAAGACAATGTGCTAGCAATGCTGACGAATCCTGTAGTAATTAGCTTGCAATTTATCTTATGTATAGTTGGATACAATTTTGATGAGTAGCTTTAAGAGAAAAGTACTGGTGGTCTTGCATTTCTAAACCTTTTTGTTGACGATTTTATATGCCTCCTTATTTGGTCAAATCACCTGCAGTGTGCCCTTCTCCATGCTAACCACTAAAGATAACAATCCACCCCCCTTATACGTGTGTGGGGGGAAGGCAAATCAGCCCATTTTTTTTTACCTTCAACAAGCTCCTGCTGAAACTAGTGATGTGCCAGACATCCATCGAGAACTGGTGTGAGAACTGTAAAACCAACAATCTATACTCTTAAATGGCAGCAATAACTTAAATGTGACAATCTCTAAAATTACCAGGCCTGCGTAACATGTCATCCATCATTTGTGTGTGTGTGTGTGTGTGTGTGTGTGTGTGTGTGTGTGTGTGTGTGTGTGTGTGTGTGTGTGTGTCAGAGTCAGAGTCAGAGAGAAAGATTCAACAGTCCCTCAGTAATTGCTTGCTGGAATGACACCAATGGAGATGGGAGAAGGCTAGGTCAGACTAGTCAAGTTGCTTTCATCAAAATCAATAAATCCCCCTCTAGACTGAAAGTGTGTGTGTGTGTGTGTGTGTGTGTGTGTGGGTCTCTGTGTGCTTGATACTCACTTCCTGTTTTCCTCCTCCTGCCGCTCGTGCTCTCTCTCTGGTCTGTGGATCAGACTCCCTCAATAAGAGGTGACACCAACAGGGATGCTATTTATTTGGGGCCGATCCATTATTCATAACTGTCGCGAAGGGGCAGAAAATAGCGTCCTATTAGTCGGATCAAACTACTTTTTTACAGTCCTTCTGGACACTCATTATAATGTCTCGGAAATTTTAGCTTTACGGATTTATTTTGAAAATAAGTGGTATTTAAACTTAGATAAAGCATGGCGGCTCAGAATAATCAGGGGGCTGTGAAAGGAGGAGTGGACACCTCATGGCAGTAGTTTGGGTGGAGGAGAGAAGGGTTGTTTACGACGACGTCGTATTAAGTTCATTGTAGGTAATAAAAATTCAGAACTTCAGAGATTAAAGTCAAAATTCATGAGAAAATAAACTCTGATATTCTCCAAGATAAAATAAAAAAACTCACAAAAGGGAAAAAAACAACGGTGGTAGGTAGAGTGTGAAACAGTGGTAATAGAAAATAGTGGGGGGGGGGGTGTTAAGAAATCGCTTCACTTTGCGAAGTTGGATCAACCTCCTCACCTCCACCGTTAAACTCTGCAGGAACGTGAGCCGCCGAGAGCATGTTTTATTGTAACTGACACTCCATCATCCATCCATCCATTCTCATCCATCCATCCATTCTCATCCACTCAAGCAGTTATGTTATGTTCCTGCGTGTTAGCATAGCATTAAGCACCACTAGCTAAAAAAACAAAAACATTTGCATGACAGAGAAAGGGTGTTTAGGTCTCTTCCAAGACTAAGTTGGATTAGAAAAATGCCTTTAAAAATCACACTCTACAAATTGTATTCCTTTCCTTCCGTACGTCTGCCTATACGTACCATTATTTTGAATGCCTCGTGGAAATTTCCTTAAATTTGTCCACTTGGACTCAATAATGAACTGATTAGATTTTGGAAGTCAAAGGTCAAGATCACTGTGACCTCACCAAACACTTTTTTGGGCATAACTCAAAAATTCAGAGGCTTTACGAAAATTTCACAAAAATGTCTAATAGGATAAAATAATGAAGCGATGACATTTTGGACAGACGTGGAGATAATTGACTATCCATGACTTGCCAAGAGACATGGCCGTTGAATCTTAATTGCCGTTACACTTACATAACACTACAAATGACCAGTAAGGTGCCAGGGACCATCATATACAGCAAATGTTTGCATCACATTAATCACGTTTTTATGAATGGAAGTGAAGCAGAAACAACTCAGATCTACAGCAACAACCTACTACAGACAATTTGTCTTTGAGAAATACCTAAAAAAGCCTGTTCCAGAGGGCTGTTTCCGCTCTCTGTCTTCAGGTTGTGTTTCTGTTTAGATTCAAATTAATGATTGAGCCTTTTGGGAGAGTTTATCTGGAGTACCTGCGTAATGTCCAGCATTTACCAGGGAGGCGTTGTCTTGACTGCTTGATGAATGTTTACTATCTCCTCTGCATACACACACACACATACACATATATATATATATATATATATATATACACATTCACTCAAACATGCACACGCTCTCACACAGGAGTCCATTCTCTCAGCCCTTTCAGAGATGCTGATTAGGCATAGCAATGAGATATTGGGCCAGCGGAAGTAAGAAAGAGGGACATTCATCACTAGCCGCAAGTATCACTTTGCACACACACACACACACACACACACGTTTTGTCTAGAAAACGGCGCTTCATGCATTGCAAATGAATCAGTCGCTCTGTAACATTGTTCAATATTCCATTCATATATGTTATCATCCCGGGACTGTGCAGATACAGAGTGTGTGGGTTGTGTTTGCGACTGGCTTCTGTAAAACTGTATTAACCACGAAGGCGACTTTAAAGGTTCTATATACGACATTCAGTGCATTATTATAGCAGCAAATAAGTATTTGCTTTGTGAAAATATAGTGTAGTTATGTCTACCTGAGTCATTCTTCAGTGCACGTGAGCTTCGGTTACCGACCCACGGTGTCGAGACGCTGTGGTCACTGTGACCTCACAATGGCCATAACTCACTATTTAACAATTCAACACAAATTGACATTTTGGTTGGCGGAGGCATGCAACCCCAAGGAGGTGGTTCTAGTTGCTTTAGACATGTTTACTTATTTTGTGTCACGGTGTACCTTCTTCTGTGGTACAATGTAGACAAACTAGCAAGGCTACCAAAAAGCCTTCTGTCACCTGCAGCTGTGTTTGTCCGTCACATGACCCTCACCTTGCAGAACAAGAGAGAGTGTGCAAATTAGTGAGTTTTATGCTGGCTAGTAGGTGGATTTTCTTACCTTCGGAAAGCGAGCCAGGCCAGCTGTTTCCCCCTGCGTCCTGTCTTTGTGCCGAGTTAAGCGAACCAGCTGCTCACGGTAGCGTCATATTTATGATACAAATGTGAGAGTGGTTCCAATCTTCTTATCCCTGAAAGCAAATAAGCGTGTCTTCCCCAAAATGTCAAACTATACCTTTGAGACATTTTCTACAACGGGGTCAACTCAAAATATACGACACCAGAACAAAATAAGCCTCAATGGCGGGCATGACGAGCTATTGTCGAGATCCTAAACCAGAAATGTTTTCCTCCGAGACCCTCGGTGGAATTAAAATAGAGCTTTACTTAGCCCAGTTAGGACTCTGGAAATCAGGCTAATTAATATGCAAGGAGGAATGTCTTTGTCTCGCCCTCCAGAATAAAAGTAAGATAAGTGAGACCGATAGGTTTGAAACGGTAGATCGTAGCCATACGTGCATTTTATATCCTCTGCATGTATGTAGGGATTAGTTCACTGCTCTTAATCTCCGCCATTTGATAGATTTACCCAAAGATTTCTCTTTTGTCATTCCCTTTATTTATATCAGTATGTCTTGCTCCCTGCATCTGTCACTCTCTTTCTCAGACATACATTTTTCTCCACTGCCATTCTGCACTCATTTCAGTTTAAACTGCCTGCTTTTCCTCCTCTCCTTCCTTCCTTCATTCCTTCCTGTCCTTGCATTTACTCTTAAACTATTCCCCCTTGCTTTTTTAGATAGAAGTGCCAATCCTTGGAACTATTTATATCTTATTGTGTTATCTTGTTCAAGGGAAAGATGTTTGACAACATCTTCCCGGCCATTAAGGCTCTTTTTTGATTTGATTTGCGAGAGACAGAAGGAGAAGGCCTTGCAGAGGGAGGGGGGAGATCTTCACTAGGCAGTTCTGACAAGGCTGTGTAGACTCAGTGGTCCATGTCGGACTGAAGTGTTAGCTCCATTTGTATGTCCAAGCATATCATTAAGAAGACATCTTTTGTTTGAAAATCCGCTATTTCTCTGTTCACACACGTAAAATGGCATTTTTTAAGACAGTGTTGTGAATATGCTGTTAGACACTCGCACGCTGTGGCCTCATTTTCACCCTGACTGACTGCAAGGACTGATACTACTACGCCGGTGACAGAGTTTTTGTGTTATGAATCTGTTTTGAAGCCAGAGGTTGCATCCCAAACTGAACTGAAGCCCATAGCAGCAGCACTGTGTAACTGTCCGACACACTGCGTGAATTATCTTCCCGTCTTAAATGCGAAAATCAGAGCAGATTCTGATGTAACTGCTGAATCACAGCCAATGGGGAAGGATATTCCATCATAATTCAAACAAACCGAGGCGGATGTGATGGATAATGCTGTTCACTGAGTCACAGTGCAGCGCTTTAGCGCCACCTGTTGGTCAGAATCCACACCAGGAAACTGGATTTGAACTTTAAGTTGAATAACCCAAGAGAACGGGTTCTTCTCTGCTTTCAGGTTATTGAACAGGTGCAGCTACCTAGAAGATGTATGTATTAGCATTCATGCTGTAAATTGGGTTTTGGTTGCGTTTGACGGTTGAAGTTACAGCACAACAACTTACTTATTTTTCTCTCTTCTAATACTTCTTCCAAAACCAATATCTGTTTAAATGATTTCAATTTTCTTTTCCTGTATTGCATTTTTACTAATGAGATCTACGGTTGTGGACTTAATTTCTAATGTGTACCTGCATGATGTTGCTAATTAGAGGGTTGTTTCTGCTTAATGATTAACGCAAGACAGAATTAGAGAAAGGAAGAAGAAGAAAAAAATGTATTTATGCTTCACAAAGTTGGGAGCTTTTTTCCCCTTTAATCTTTGCTTTTTGTTCTTATTAATAACGGAATCTTTTTTTGTTAAACTGGTATGCAATAACAAAAAAAAGTGCATGTAGACAATGTTATGTTTAATGAGGACACAAGCCAAAAAGCTTGGGAACTACTGCTCCATTTGATCCCCTTTTAGCTGCTGGGGTCGCCTTTTGTCAGATATTTGCCCCAATGAAGGTCAAGTCACAGAAACCTTGGCTTTTTTGATTTTTATTAAATACTCGTGTTGGACCTAAAACATTGAGGAGTCATACTTTGCAATCGGAAACATGTCAACAGACAGTCCTGTAATAATCAGCATTTCCTGAAGCATAATATAACCCAGACCTCCCAGACGTATTGACCTGCTTAGACTCACACAAACATGTGTTAATAAAGAGGCAAAGACTTTCATGAAGAAATCCAGATTTTACTTTGAAGTTTTGTCGGTATTGTTTTTAATAAAATGTGCCTCACTGTCTCCGCATTACCTCTCTCACACCTCTCTCTTCCTTTCTTTGACTTTCCCCCTCCAGGTTTAATAAAATCCAGAACACGAAGAACACGATGAGGAAGGACGGCATCAGCTCTCTGACCTACAGACTGGTTCAGGTCAAGAGGTACCCTCTGTACACAGATATCTCTGTGGAGATCGGCAAAGCACCGCCCCGGCCTATTAAGGGCTAGAGGAAGATGAGGGGGACGACACACATTGACATGAGGGAACAAGACAAGAAGAAGAGCGCTCATAGGAAGGAAATAAAGAGGAAACGCGTCCTAGACATCTGGAAGGATGCAGGAGTGAAAGATAGAGGAAAAGTCACAAGCACATCATGGTCTCTTTTTCCCTCTTTACCCCTCTCTCTCTCTCTCTCTCTCTCTCTCTCTCTCTCTCTCTCTCTCTCTCTCTCTTTTAAGATTGCAGCTTGCCATTTCTGTAACAAGGACTCGGGCTCTTTCCAGCATTTTCAAGTAGCCAACGGCTTCACACCTCCTACCTTTACCAATCAGTGACTTCAGAATTTTGAAGAGTGTGGACCAAAGCTCAAATGTCAGTGACCGACCAAAGGTTGGCATCAAACTTGGAGTGTTTCCATTAACTATCTTTTGTAAACTGGAGGACATCCAGTGGAATATCGACGGAGGATATTGACGGGAAACGTTGTCGGGGGACATCAATTGAAACTTTGGAAAGTTTTCATGACCTGTTCTGAAAGACGGCATCGAGTGGGATTACTTGGAATATCTGACCAAATTAGTAGAATGAAAAGAAATGACTTCTTACATGGATGCAAGGAGAGTCACGAGGAGTGGAACCAACTTGTTTGGAAATGAAATATCAGAAAAAGAACAAACCTTGTGGACAACGAACCTTACAAACGCCATCAACTATTCTATTTCCCAAGCATTCACAGTGATGATGACGAGAATGGGGATTTCCATTAGAGGCAAACTGTAACATTAACGAAATATGACGACATGCAGTGATGCTCCGTGGACTTGTATTTGATGGATTGCATATCAAAGAAATCGTCCGACTCTTATCTTTCATATTTACGAGTGATGTTAACAGACGATTTAATATCGACGTCTTTGTCAGGGAGTTTGGATCAAATTACTCACTCGAATCCTCCGGTATCAGTCAATGAATGTGTATTGTGCCTGCATCTACAGTGCTGGGAACACGCTGATAAAACATGTTCGTCAGCAGCAACAAACTTTGGAAACAGAAACTGACTCATTGGAGTGACGGGAAAGTTCTGCAGCGGCGTAAACATATTGAAGAGTTTTCTCCTGTGCTGAATGCAATCTGGTGGAGCTACCCTGGGAATGCATTGAAATCAAATTGAGGAACTGAAGACAACACGGCAGATATATACGCTGACAGCTCAGTCAAGATGTCAACCCCATGGGGCACATTTTGGAGATTAGGTTTCTGGAAGCTTTGTGTTTTTTTAGTTTTTTTTTCTCACTCCACTTGAAGAAAGATGAAGAGGTTTATTTTGGTAATCTGGGCTTCAAGCGTACAATTGTTGTCTCTGTAAAGTGCAAATGGCCTGAGGTTCATTAGTATTCCTTAAGGTAAAGATTTGATTCAGTACAAATATGCATTTTTCATTCGAAAAATTGGACATTTACCACATTTTCTGAACGTATTTGGGGCAGAAAGGGGGTTACCCTGACCTGTTGCGAATACAAAAGCTGATTTACAATCCACAGACAAGACCAACTATCACAAGTCATTAAAGTTCTATTGATACTGTTTCTATGACATTTTCTCTCTCTGCTATCTTTTTCTTTAAATCTTAAAGGAAAAGGCGATCATATCCGGAAAGAGGAAATTATAAGGTGATAGTCTTTTGCTGGTGGAAATTGTGAATTTGACGGCAGTAATGAGAAGTTATCGTTTGAGCAGTTTGACTGACGTCTCTATTGCCGCTTGAGATTTTATCATCAGCTGTCACTTCTGTATTTAAATGTATTTTATCACACTTTTTTCATAACTGATGGAAACATTTTTTGCTAATTTCCAAAACGTATTTAGTCTCGTATGAGTTGCACAACCTTCCCCGTGTGAAAAGAGAACAGACATTTTTTTCTTGTCTCCACTTTCGACGCCTAAACACCAAACTGATGCCTTCAGACGTTATCCATACTGAGGTTATTTTTTATGTAAAGGTCATTTTAGCGAGTAAAATCAATATCTATGAGAAGATGTGCGTTTTAAGATGGGTAATACAGAAATGATTTTTTTGAAATTTAAATATATTAAAAAAAGAAAAACGTGCAAAAAATATTTCCACATATCTTTTAAACAGACAGAATATTTGTGTCCAATGCTTTAACTGCTATTTTGTTGCCAATTTTCTCTCACTCTGAACGATTTGGGGCATTTATTTTGGTATAAATTGTGCGTTGTTGGCCTCCTCTGTGGTCAGCCTTGAGGCAAAAAGGCCCAAATGTTTCCATCTGTTTGGGTCTTCGTTATCTTCATCTGAAGCCTGTTGGAAGGTCTGATTACGCCTCTCTCTCTCTCTCACACAAACACACACACAAACACTCATTCACACCCTTCCCTTTTTTCTTTGCATTATCTCGCCTTTCATTGCCTGTTCCCTTCTCACTCTTCCAGTCCAGGCTGTATGTGTGAATGGTCTTCTGCTGTGCTTTGTAGTGGGCCTACTGTAGGCACAGCTGTGTCTCACAAGAGTGCTTCTTCTTTCAATAGATATAGACAGGGCCTCTCTTTGTGTCTCTGAATCTGTGCCACTTACTGTATCTTTATTTTTCTATCTCAGTACACATCCCCATTCATGAAACCTGCTGTGCACCTTTTCTCGAACTCTCCCCATCTTTATCCGAGTCTCCTTTTCCTTTTCACCCACTCTTGATACTCTCCTGGTGAGTTTAAGTGTCCTCAGTGGGCAGTCGATCTATGGAGAGGTCAATACAATCCCTACTGTTTAAAGCAAACCACTTGTCCCGCTTCAAAGTCATTGTTTTCAAGTGGGATGTGAAGTGACAACATTTTGTAAGTGTTGGATTCACATTTTTTCATAGTTTTCCTCCATAATTCACCTGTTGATTTGGAATCGTTGTAATGAGCACACAGCAACCAAAATGACAGCTTTGTTTTTTCCCATACTTACAGTATTCAAGCACTAGTGATTTAGTGCTTTACTTTCATAGAGTTGGGTGACTTTTGACAAAAGACGAGTCAAGATCCAAAAACACTGGATCCTACATTTCCCATGATGCAGCTAGACAGTGTATTTCATAGAGTTCATAAAGTTGGAGAAGCTAAATATATTGGGTGTAAAAGTGTCATTCATTTTCCCATAGACTTGGATGGGCGTGAAACTGAAGAGACAAAAGATATGTTAGAAAAAGTCCGATCCAAGTCCGATCGGCAGGAAACATCCAATCACAGGGCTTCAAATTATGTTGTGTGCACGCCAACAGCCGTGAGAATCCGGATTTTCCAATCTGCACGTTAAAGAAATTAATTAGCGATTTCTGGGTAAATGTAGGACAAAATTGCCAACTATAGCACCGTTTTGTTCAAATGTGGAAAAATACTGAACAAGCATTAGACTCCCTCCTCCTACTAAATGCCCACTCTCTATGGCAAGCCTTCTCAGGTCTCAAGGCCAAGCTGAGATAACCCTGAAGACCTGGTTTCTTTTTTTTGCTCCTGTCCCTGCACAGAAGACCTTGTACAGCTGTTTTCACAGGCTGAGTCGTACTCCTCACGATGAGTAAATTGAACTTTGAAATTAAGATAATTTTCTAGCTTCATTACTCTGACAATGAGGTCAGTTAGGAAAGCTGAGGAGTGACAGTTACTGGAAACAATGAAGGATATAGCAAGAGAGGCCCCCGTGTGTACCAACAGCAACATACAGATGTTAAAGATCAGCAACAGAAACGTCAGCAAAAATAGTATTTGAAACATTTCCTTTACTTGAGAAGAACAACCACGAGGAGCGCTTGATGTTTCTTAATGGACTCTTGACTTTTGAAGCGGTTCCAGTTGTCAGGCACACCTCAGGTGGTGAAGTATTGGAAACGCTTTTTCAAATACAATTTTTTTGCTGCAAAGCAGAGAGGACTTTCAGGCCTGTGGGCATTTTTAAAGATTTACTGTATCTATAGCTATGTTTTTTTTTGTACATTGAATGTTGAAAATGTTATATCTTATATAGAATGCATTACGTCATATCAAACCTACTTTTTCTATACAATCAATAAATCTGATGGTTAAAGATTGTATGGTGGTGTTGTCAGTTGCTTGCTGTGTGTGTACATGTGTTTTTTTTTATCCCAGGTTACTAAAGAAGACACTCAAACTCTGGTGAATGAATTAAACCTTCATAATTAGTTTTTATCTGCAGGTTGAGGTAATCCCAGAACCAGTCCGTTTCCTGTTGCCATGAGAGCACATAAACCTGTTATTGTTGTTTCCGTGTGACTTAGTGGACTAAAATGCCAAACCCCCGTTTGGATTACCTTACGCCGTCTTTCATTTCCTCCTCTTTCATGCTACAAAGTAAAGCTTTGTCTCCTTTACTTTCTACTTCTTCTTTCAGTCTTTACATTGTTTTTGCTCTGCAGGGAAATAAGGACGGTGTCCTCTCAGAGCCAAACTGGTCACAAAACAGCAAATTGTTTAATTAAAGTAAAATGATGTAACTCAAGCGTTAACACAAAAAGAGATTTTTAATGAACATGGAAAGGTGTTTTAATTTGGAATATTTTAAAAGATGCCGGGGTACATTACCAGCATAACACACTACATGATTCATGGGTGTGATTCATATTAGTTCCCTTTTATTGTAGGCAGTATATTTAAACTCCACTTAAAAGAGTGGTTTGACAGCTTAGGCGTTTTTTGCTGAGAGTTAAATGAGAAGATTGACGCCAATACTGTATATCTGTGCAGGGAATATGGCTAATTGTGTTACCTTTAACAAGAGGCAGGCTAGCTGTTTCCAGTCTTTATGCTAAGCTAAGCTAACCTGATATTTCCCGAACAGACATGAGAGTGTAGTCCATCTACTCATTTAACTCTCAGCAAGAAAGCACACAAGTATAATGTCAAACTATTCTTTCTGTTTATTCGGTAACTAAGAGCATAACTATAGAACAGCCTTCAGTTACTTTCAATATTCTTATTCTGAATACTGTTGAATACTACTCACGCCACGAAAATGTGAATACAGAAAGAGCATATTATTCATAAAGTCTCCTGATAAAATTAGATTTTAAAGGTGTTAATAACACTAAATGTTTCAACTTAATCCCAAACCTTGCTTAAAGAAGCTTTTCGTGGCGATTCAAGTCAGTGAAACGCGTCTGTTGTAATGATATACAGCAGCAGCTTGGGAGTAAATGCCATTGCAGGCTTTAACACTGCACATAAACATGAAACAAGACAAGATTATTTTTGGTTTTCATTCAAAGGTCCCTCAAGATTAAAGCGGTAGATAATGACAAATAACAGAGGAGAAAGATCTTCTGCAGATATAAAATGACAATACACTTATTTTTCATCATACACTGATGACAACTGTACACTTTGATAACAGTGGAGATAACGAGGAGGGCTGATTTGAAGAAAGGCTACGCATTATTTCTAGTGAAAAATTAATAAAGCAGTTAATTACATTGTTTTTCCTGCTCTACAGTTAACATGCACAAATAACCCTTTTTTTCAAACATTGCTCTTGTCTACAACTACTGTACAGTCATATGTTAGACCATAGTCTCATACGTTATATTTCAATTAGCCTGGATATTGAACTGCAGAATTTACAGGACAGTTATAAATTGTTAATTACTTCGCTGAGCCATTTCCTAGTCGAAATTGCATCACAGCTGTGCATACATTTGGCTGGTGCATCAACCCGTGACAGGTCAATTACGATTCGTTATCATCCAATAATCTCATTGGCTTTGTTGTGTTGCCAGTTGTTTCCCAAAGCAGGGGTCTGGAAATTAAAAATATGCTTCCTGGGTAACTTGCTTCTATAAAAGCTATAGTCTCCCTCTTTTAAAACAATTTTGAAGAAACTGTGGACAGGCAGATAAAATATAAAAGGGTCAATATCTGGAGTGTGGTCACCTTTCAAGGGTGTTGGTTTGTTATAGTTCCTGTCAGATATGTTTGATTATGATGTTTTCAGTAGGAGTACGGACATTACAGTATGCTTAGGGATTAAGGCCCTGTAAATCAAACATCTTATATTTACATCACCGCAGTCCATATTACTGAATGGAGAGAGTTTTAATCAATTTGTCCTTCATAAATTCACTGTTTTCAGTGGTTTTCAAGGACTACAATTCATCTTCTTAGCTATAGCAGGATTAAGTCTTATCCAGTCTTTGTTACATATAAGTAAAGCCGAATTAAGGTATTAGAGGGTATATGGATCTTCCACCAACCACCCACTATGCATTGTGTACCTGGCCGCAAGGGGTTAGTTTGTGATTATTAGCTTGTGGTTATTTGACTAAACTAATTTTGGAATATGCGCCATGGACCACGATTTAAACTAAATTAATGAAGTTCATATTGAGTAAGAGGCTGTCTATGTGACGGAACCAAAAATTTGGATTATAATCAAATTGCTAGAAACCCACTGACATGCAGAGAACCTGGAGCTTTGACCGGTCTGTAACTTAGCCTTGAATTTAGACCGTGTTTGCAATATGCAGCCGAGGCCTGTTAGTGGGCCAGCCTTGTCCACCAAAGTGACAAACTCAGTAAGTCTTATCAGTATTACAGAAACCTTGGATAAAAGAATTCCTTGTGTAATGGCAGCTCTATTTTCTATCTCAGCTGCACGGGAGGGTTCAGCATGTTCTTAGAGATGGAAGGAGTATCAGCCATCAGGGATTGTGTATTTTAGGGTAACAGCTGGTTCTCTGCTGACAGAGTGAATCAGTTTTTCTTGGTGGATGGTTGTTCTGGAGTACAGTTTTTGAGGCGGGAACAGGTGGCGAGACGGTTTCCCTCCCAGTAGCCGGCGTCCTGACCATCGTGACAACGACACTTGGTGCAGGAGTCGACCCAGAAGGGCTCTCCTGCAGGGATCACCTGGTTGCGTGATGCATCGACGTAGCAGTTAGGACCTGGAGGGAGATGAGCAACACTGTAAGTGTTGCTGCAGTTGAACAGACTTGACAAACAGGGAAGCACATAAGGTCAAGTGCATACACACTCATCCTTGCATGCAAATGATCAAATGCATTATAATTTCACAGTGGCGTTCATACGGAGAAGATGAATTTCCCGTGGCATCTCTCAGAGGCACTTTCTACATTTACAGTTTTTCTGCTATTTTCAACATACCCTCCCTGCATTCTGGGCAGCATTTCCCAGCCTGGTAGAGAGGGTTGACGCATGGCGGAGGGGCACAATCTGCAACCAGACAGCGGGCGATGCCATCATTGTCACAAGTACACTGCTCACATTCTGATGGCTGGGAAAAGAAACACACACACAGACACAAACACAAACGGTATGACAGTTAATATGGATGTTATTTCTGACCAGCGCCTCTCACCAAGTCCTCTTCATGCCATCTCAAAAGGGGGCGCTATTTACCTCCAATTCCCGGCTGTATTCTCAACTTACATACCGGCATACCAGACTGCGATTCATCGGTTCAGAAATACAGTCTATGTTTCTAGAAGCTTCAGAAGGAAATATGCTGAAAAAGATGTACATATATAAGCTGATACTTATTATTATTACTTTATTATTATAACACACGAGCTTAGGCAAACTGTTTTATGGGTTTTAGTTTCATCATATTGTGCATAGTTATACATTTGAATAAGAGGCAACAGTAGTACAGAACAGGGAGATACCTGAAGGAAACAGACCAAGAGACTTGAGGTTCACACTTATACAGTATTAAGCTGCTGCTCACCTTTTGGTTTTGTGATATATGTGTAATAGCTATTTACAGTCTGGATCTACTACACATTATCTAAAGCTTTCTGCAGCAAAAAAAACCTGAAAATCCTCTGGGGTATTCAACGTGGTGTCCATGTTGTTCTTTTTAATACTATGTGGTTTTCCTTTAACATCTCAACAGTTGGACATGATTCCTATTCTGCACATAGAGCCTAACATTTGCAGTGACATTTAAACCATTTCTACAACAAAAAAATAAAATAAGTATGACACTAAAGCCTTCACAAATACTGCAGTAATTTATTCAAGATTCATTTGTGCAGACAGGCAATTTTGGACTTATTGGCAATAGGCCTTTTTTTCAAAACATACTGCTGTATTTGTGTACTCTACCCTTAGAAAACGAAATAAGCTTAGCTTTAATGAAAAGATCCATCACAAATAACAGCAAAACTATTCTATAAGTAGTTTCCAACCTTTTTTTCCAACTATCTATTGAATTAATAAATAGCAAAAACTAGAAGAGTTGGAAACAATGAAATGTATTATCTCTCTAATCCCTTCGATTTTTCTTGAGAGCTGACCTCTAAAATGGGCAAAACTTTTATGTACACTATGTAGATCTTTTTCTCAAAATATTTAAGGCCCTATAATAAGATTATCCATACCTATAGGTATAGATCCATGCCGTCCCCATCCCTCCTAGAAGCCATCAACAGGCCAGCCCCATCTTTGCAAGCTTATAGGTGTCAGAGTTTTCAGGCTTACCTGGAAGGTCTGCCCCAGCTCGTACACCACTCCTCGGTACTCACACCCGATCTTTTCGCACCTGGGGCAGCAGTCGGTGGGGTAGTGGCTGACATGGATGCACGCAGCCGGGAGGGAGATGCACTCTGTGCGGGAACACGCGGAGCCCTCAGTGGTGCATTCACATTGGGTGCAGTGATCGGAGTCCAGAAAATACCATTCCCCCAAGAAGTATATGCTGCCGTTGGCCTCGCAGGTGCCTTCCTGCTGTCCGGCGACTGAGAAGCCAAAGCTGGCCTGCGCGCAAAGCAGTAGTGCCAAAACTGCCGTGCGTAAACTCCGCTCCAAGGAAGGGCGCTCAGTGAAAAGCATGATGACAAATTAGATTCACCTTGCTCAAAATAAAGAGTTAGTATTTGGTCGACAGGTTACCCAAAAGTGTTACATTGTTACTGGACGCTAAAACCACGGCGTCACCTCAGTCCTCTTTCCGCAGAGGTCTACTGGAGCTGCGCACACTTCTGTAAGGAGCCCGGAAGGGGGCGGAGGTTGGGGGGGGGGCATTAAGAGGGAAAGTTATGTTCACTGCCTCTCATACCCGAGTGTCAGCAGATGTCTGTCCCTCCCCCAAGTTAACATTAGGCCTATTACAGACTTTTACTAGAGCACAGGCGGTCTATTGTGCACATTATGTGCAATTACTGGAGTCCACAAAGCACAGAATGTGGTATTTATAGGTCATTTGTTACAGTGTGTCACTTTGTATTGCGTTTTTGCAAAAAGAACCCAACAACAAAAAGAAACAGAGAACCCAACTGCTGACAGATCTCGCGATATCTCCCTCTAGCAACTGGAATGTTTACCCTGGATACCACAACTCTGCTAGATCCAAGTCGAGGTGAGCGTTTTGTTTTCCTCTTTAGCAACATAGAAAATACATCTGATGAAATGTCCACGTGTTTTTCACAAACGTTTTTTTATCATTTAATCGTTAGTGTTAGAAATAAACTATGTCAACACGTCGTGCTTGTGAAATATTCGGTTATGTTCAGTCTTGATCGTTAGCTAACAGACAGCTGTAGGCAGAGCAAGAGGAACCTAAGTAAGTTAATTCAGGTTTTATTCCAACAAGGAGCTCCATGCAGTGAACAGTTTCATACCCCTCAACCTTACCGTATTGCCTCAGTGGTGGGAGAAGTATTCAGCTGACGTTACTCTACAGAAATACTCAATTACAAGTTAATATCCTGCATGCAAAACGTTACTTAATTAGCTGAAGGTGCAGAGGCTACACAGTCTGCAGGGGTAAAAAGTACAATATTTCTCTTTTGAAATGCGGGCGGTGAAGTAGAAATATAAAGTGGAATGAAGGGATAATACTCAAGTGAAGTATACATACCTCACAATTGTACTTACAGTATTTCAGCAAGTGTACAGTTACATTTTACCACCGCAGTTTCTCTCTGTTCCTTCACTCCTAGATTACTATTCCCATGCAGTCTCTGGATGGAACCCAGCTCTGGAGCCCCGGCCAGTCCCTGTGGAGCCTGATCACTGAACATGTTCCTGGGTCAGATCTGCCGAAGATCCACACGGCACTGGGCTCCTCTCTGGTTGACGTGTACTCAGAGGTGCACACTGAGGTGAGAGTGTTGCCTGCAATATGTCTGATTTGTTCGAATGTCGTGCTACATTTGACATACATGCCTTTTAGTTGGAACATTCCTCTTCAGATTCAGCGGGTTAACCGCTGTTTCACTTTTCATGTTTTATTCGTTAAAGCATTCAGAGATTCTGGTAGCATCCCACAAAAATACAACCACACCATATACAAGAATTTCCTTTTCAGCTCAGCTTCAGGGTGAATCAAAACATTGCTCACCCAAACATTCCTGACCAAAGAATTTAGGAACTGCTGTGTTAGGTTGTGTAAGTAGGTTGGTTTGGCTGCGTACAATCATTAATTCCCAGACTCCCTAATAAATGTGGGTTAACTGACACTGTGCTGCAGTGAAGTCCAAATGTGAGCCAAGCAGACAGACATCAATATTTCCTTAAGGCCAGCTAAACTCTCTGCCCTGAAGCCCATTGCATGGCGAGCACTCAGCTCTAAATGACCTCACCCAAGAAAGACCTGCTGGTTGATATGAAACATGCAGCTACGGTGGAGTGGCACACACCTCACTAAATTGGCCAATTAAAGACTAGAGTGACTCTCTAAGTGTGGTCGTGAATCATGAATACAAATTAAAGAATTATAAATATAATGAAATTGTAAAAAAACAGGACTTCAGTAATTGCTGTCGCTTGCACAATTTGATTTGATAGTGAATCGTGGTCTGACTGTGTCAAAATGAATCTAGGGCTGCAACTCATTCCTATTTTTAACTGTTTATTTATTTTAACATTTTTCTCAATTAATTGATTCATTGTTTCATCTATAAGATCTAAAAAGAAATAATGAAAAATGCCCATCACAGGTTCCAAGAGCCCAAAGTCACGTCATCCAATGTCCTCTTTTGTACAATCATCAATCCAAAACCTGAAGATATTGAATTAACTGTATAGTGATATAAATAAGAGACAAATAACCTAAATGAATAAACATAAGTTTTATCAAAACTGTTGCGTGCCAATCAACTGATTGATTATTCAACAAATCATTTCAGCTCTAAATGAAACTCAACGCATTACAGTGCATTGAAAGGGACTCAGTGGTTTACCTAAATGTGAGGAAAGGCAGCCTAGTCTACTGAGGGAACATTCTTTTCAAGCTGAATTACATAAGAGAGGCCATGCCATGTGCACTTCAGACCAAGTCTGTAGCTGTACATTTCACACAGTCACAAAGAATTCCTCTAATCAGCACTTTTTGTTGGGTATGAAAATCTCTGTATTTGCTGTTTTCTTTCTCAAGCTGTGTATTTTACACTAGTGGTTCTAAAAGTGGGGTCCGTGGTACTCTGTCAGGGGGTCTGCAAAATAATTTGCTAAAGATTAGAGAATTGTGCTGTATCATTAGATTGTGAATATCTAAAGATGGGCACCATTTGTGGCAATAAAATAAGCATAATGTGTCCAAAACTTGAAATGAAGGCTCTAAAAGCTGTCAAGTTGTGTTCAAATGCAATTTGAAGATAGTCACCCTCTGTTTTAATGTATATAAGTGGTATTTACATTTAATAACATTTATTTTATTTTATTTATTTAACCTTTATTCATCCAGGATAACCCCATTGAAATTCTCTTTTACAAGGGGGTCCTGGTGAAGATGGCAGCGTATAAAAACCACACAAAAACACAGATGACAGACATTGCAAATCTCATTGCAAATGGAAAATGTTCTCCCGTCCAAGCGGTCACTGGCGCCAACAAGTTAAAGAACCCCTGTTCTATACAACCTAGCCTCTCTCCCTCTGTCCGTCTGTCATCTTTGCCTTTCCACTCTCCTACCTTCAGCCATCTTCTACTGTTTTCTCTTCCGTGTGTTCAGTATTTAAATCTCCCCATCTGTAGATGTTATCAGCCTGCAGTGATCCACCAGGCCAGTCGCTGTTTGCAGAAAAACATGTGGACAAAATCTGTCTCAGCTCTCAAGCTGTGGCATGAAGATGCTGACCACATGGTATTTTTATGACAGTTAACATTTAAAAAACACTACAAAACACTTTTTACATGGAGGCATGCAAGATGCCCTTCTTTTCACACAAACAAACACACACACACACACACCCTCGTACACTCATATTTCATTCACAAATAAATTATGAAATTAAATGTCTTTTTTACATTAAAAAAACCTAATAATTAAGTAATTCAGCTCATTTAGACACACTATCATCTGCACCCACACACACCACACACACACACACAAAAGAGGCCCAGTAAGCTTAGTGAGTCAGGGGGTCGGTATAACAGGGTTAAAGAGGCTAATCCTCAACTATTGCTAAGACCGTTAGCAACACATATTCTTTGACTCGATTGTGTATCTGTCTGCGTAGAGGAAATAGACATGTGTGTGCATGTGTGTGTGACTTTCAATATTTCTCTGATGTTTTCTCACCTGCAGTTCAGTGTATGCAGTGGCTGGCTTTGAAGCCCTCAGATGGAAAGAAAGACTTGCGCTGAGAGCTTTAAGAAATGTCTAAGCAAAACAAAAAACAAAGCACAGAGCGCCTCATTCAACTCGACTAGTGCGAGCAGGTTTTCTTCAGTTATTACAAATACTGCAGGGCGGATCTTTCCCTTTCCTCTTTTTTTATGTCTGCGTCTGCTTGTCTTTCTATTTGATCCCTCTTCTGTCCCTGTCTATTTCTCCTTCAGCCATGTAATGAATTCCATCCCTCAGTGAGCCACTGTGAAAAGTAATAGTTGATCTGCAGGCGAATCCTCCATTCCTCAACACCACCATTCCTCCCGCCATCAAGGTCTCCTTTGTCTCCGGCGGTTTGATCAGACGGAACGTTAGCCTCTCTTTTCAAGTCTCTCTACAAGGCCAATCTCTCTGTACCTCCCTCTACACTCTCACTACATTCTCTCTACTGAATGAAGATGAGGTATTTAAAGTTAAATGTATTCTAAAACCCAATTTGAATAATTCAACATAATAACCTCTAGTAGGTTATTTTTAACTGACAGATTTAAACAGCTCTCCCTTAAAATAGCTCCTGGATGAGATAAACAGTCTCACAGCAGAGGGAGTGTGTGTGTGTGGGGGGGGGGGGCATGACATAAAAAGCCCAACACCTAAAGACAGACAGTGTGAGTGAAAAGGGTTGTGTGTGTGTGTGTGTGTGCAACACGCTGCGTGAATGCTGGTATGTGAGTGGACATGTGCACACATAGGCACACATGCAAAGACCAGAAGTGGCGTGTTTTGTATCCTCCAGTGTATTCCTTTGAAGTCTTCGACTGCAACATGACAGAAATGATTGGCCGGCAACAGGTGTGGAGGTCTTAATCGTAACCAGACTTCACTGAGACATATGTGCACACAAGCATTCACACAAATGTTAATATCTTTTATTTTTTTGTTTTTTGTTTTTTTACAAGTCATCCTTTTGCTGTTGCATTATGGTTAATTATGGGAATTGTTTTTGAGCACAGATTTGTGTGAAGATGCAGAAAAACAAGCTGCTGAGTGCAAAAAGTAAACCTATTGTACAGTCCTGAGTGCTCAGCCCTTCTACCGGCTCAAAGAGGAAGTCAGGCGTAGAGACTGACCTTTTCCACATTTCCACTGCTTTGATCTGCAGTGATTATCCTACTGTAGCAAAATCACAAGGACTAGAAAGCTGCCTGGTCCTGCAGCAGACAGGGATGTTTGTGTGTTCACATGGCCCAAGTTCACCATGCTCAGTGTGTGCGCCACAAGTAGCAACGTGTTCTACAACTGCAGACGTAATATAGTGGGATAGCATGTTAACATGGTGGGACATAGTGTAAGCATGATATGGCTTAGCAACAGTAATGTTGGAGAGTAGGGCTGTTTTTTTTCAGATTTACAGATTTTCACCAAAGTGTATCGGTTAAAAGAAAGTTTCACCCAGATTGTAGGCTCTGGGAATGTTTTCACTGACAAAAAGTGCTAAGAAAAATTTACATTTATTTTCACCATTTTCAACAGTTTAACTAATGATGGATGTATTCAGGCATTCACGCTGGCCTTTTTTCTTTGACAAAATAAAAGCAGAATACAGCCCATTCCAGGATATCAGGCCAGGATACCTTTACAGGTAACTTAGTCAACAATCCTTCTTAATCCTGTACAAACAGTGTAGTCTTCAATTTACGTTGGAGAATCCTGCACTTACCCACACTGCTGAGAATGCACCGATACGCACAGGATCATTTCTTTTTCACAGATTATAGTCATATTTTGGACTCACTGACGCTCTAAAGAAATAAGATCATCCTCCACCGCCTTCCCTGAGACATGAAAAGTCCTGCTATCATCCCAAGTCAGGGAGGCTGTCAGGAGAGTCGCTGGATGACGGATGTCTGCATCACTGCTTGCAGCATATCGCAGTTGGACTGTCCACTCTGCTTTAAAAGAGTGAAAATGTTTTCATTTATCATTATGGTGCAGGATCATAAACTGTCAGCTGTGAATGAGTCGCCTGGACTGACAGAAGTCTGTAAAGCACATCTCGTAACTCTCCTGTTAGTATGATTCATTATTGTATGCATAATCCCCCCTCACTCATCATAATAATAATATTTGCAGGCAGAGATGTGGCATAAGATGTGGCAAGAGAGCCAGCAAGGAAACAGCAGCAGCAGCAGAGCAGGGACCCCGCTCCCACGTCAGCGGGCCTCCCCTCTGGCCGACCCCCCCGCAGTCAAAGAGCTGGTGAGAGCCGAGGTCAAGATGCTACTGCAGACTCTCAGAGAGAGAGTCAGCAGGGAGGGACGGTAGGTGTAAGAGCTCACACACACGTATCTACTCCACTGTGCATTATTAGTGTATTATTGAAAGTAATAATTTATGCCTATAAATTGATTTTGATGACGGCTAATAAGAAATTACACTTTTGAACCATGTCATCAGAAAATATACATTATACATTCTGTTTGAATTCAAATTAAAACATTTGACAGCTGGCTTGATGTGGCAGTTTAGTTCCAGGTAAAGAGTCTACATTTGCATGATTTATTCTTCTAATATTCAACAAATGCAATTTCTCTCATGATCTCATTTTTTAGTGTGAGGTTTTCACAGTCCTGGACATAAATCAACTAAATCATACTTTGTTCACAAGCCAAGACATGGTATGAATAAGTAGGTTAAGACCTTGCTCTCACACTCTCATTGTCATTTGTCACCCAACAAAGAGTGCCTATAAAATGCTATATTGTGTTCCCACGTCAGTTACAAATGAGATGGAAAGCAGAGGAACAAAAGTTTTTGGCGTAGGGATGTTGCAAACTGGTTTGGGGATTGTGGAACAATGGGACAATTATAGGAGGGAGACTTCCAATGCATTCCACACCAAATACCAACAAACACTAGATTTTAAAGGCCCAGGCGCTGCTAGCTTTATTGGATTAAATATATGGGGTTTTTACCTTAAATGGAAAGCTAAATACTCATCTTAAAATTGTAAAGAGTGTATAAAAATGTGTAAAAGCGACCTTTATTCAGTTGTTGGTAAGAGAAGTGTTCACAGGGAGATCGCTTAGTACGCTGAGTACGCTTAGTACGCCGTGCGTGTCTGCTTTTTATGAAGCACATTAGGGAGTTATAAGCTCCGCAAGAGGTCATGATAAACTTTCTAATTGCTGTTTGGTTTTTAATTTCCACAGCTAATCGTACAGCTCCTGTCAGAGATGAGCTTCTGGCATTTGGCAATTAAATGACATGTGTTAAGATACTCTGAAGAATGTCTGTGGCAGGATAATATTGGTTAGTGACACTGTCCTACAGTCTTACATTGCAATAAGGCCTATGTATCAAAAATGTTTCTGTGACGTGAAGTGTGTGTGAGAGTCACAGTCTGTAGAGCTAGTAACTCTCCCGGCAACCAGCTCGCTGCTGCCAGGAATGTTTCCCAGAGTCACCGCTCAGGTTTTGTTGAGGCCTTTTAGGGAAAACCACAACATAAGATGTGTTGTTCTCTGCTTTTTGTGACAAACCATAAATTGCCTGTCAATTTATTCGACTTCCTTTTTATTGTGGTTTTTGTGCGTCGTTAATCTGTTGGCTGTAGGCAACTCTTTAGTGCGTGTTTTTTTGTGTTTGTGTGTCAGTGAGCGCTTATTTTGTTTATGCCATCCTCTCCTGTCCTCTGTTGGAACCACTGGTCTCACACATTTGTGCATTGTTGATCGGTTTGCATCAAAGTGGTGGACCGACCAACAGCCATCCCGAGAGCACAAACAGTTGAAGCGTAGTTGTGTGTGTTTTTACTGAAAGCAACATTATTCTAATGTGTAGCCCCCTGCAGAATTCATGCATGCATTCCATGCATCACAATAAATATATAATGTATCTCCGGTGTTTATTTTGACAGCTCAGTATTTACTTTTAAGTAATTGTACAGCTTTTATTTTTATAAGTCAGGATGACATCAAGGCCTGATGTTTTAGCTGACAATCTAATATCTGTAACGCCACAGGCCCAAAGCCCAAAACAGCACTTATTAAAGTGTCGCCGAGCATGACCTGAACTGAGTCCTGTACTAGCTTACACATCTCAGGTCACTCTTGTAAAGTGCTGCGGCCGGGATGTAAATGGTTTACAAAACAATAGTGCATTGTTACTGGCTGTGTAGGAGCGCTACCAAATACAGATTGTACCAGCACAAATCGCTTTCCCTCTTTGAAGTTGGCTTTGGTATACTTGTAGACCGTGATGCATGGTAGGCTACTGTGCTTGAGGTTGTGTGTGCTCCACAGCCCTCTGTGAGTTCAATTTAATGCGCTTCGTGGGCATGAAAATTGAGAAATTATTGCTAAGATGGAGACCAGCATCTTTCTCTCTCTCACACTCTGGAAATTGTTTGTTTGAGCGTGTGTATGTATGTGGATGATTTTAACGTAATTCACCAGACATTTTAGCCAAGAACACCAACCAACCCATTTGCTTCAAGCCACACCAACCGGTAAAGGGTAAAATAGCTCTCATCCACATTCCAGATCTTGAACCATTCGTGCGTATGAAGATGGGTGTGTACCTTGTAAAAGTCAACACACTGATTTATGTTATTGGCCTCCACCTGTGTGGTCCTGATGCCTTAGCCATCCACGCACATTCACACCCACACCTCCATTGCTTTGTCTGAGTGGCTAAAAAGACTCATTTTCCCTCACGTAGGGACTATAAAGTGAAGCCGGACTGACCAGGCTGTCACCCCGTCTGCTGCAGCCGACACCATCTGCTTGTTTCTTTTTCTCCCAGGGATCATTCAGAAAATATAATGTTGCTGCTGTTTATCTTTTCCTTCCTGGATTAAAAAAGATAATCATTGTATATATTGTAAAATGAGCCAAGATCTGATTATAGAGTTTTAGTAAATGCACGTTTTACTATCTTCATGGGCCTGAAATCACCACCAGATCATCATGCATAAAGAAAGAAACCTTTGTTCAGGCTATACGTCAGGCAATCAATTAATCACTCAAACGTTATTTGTGAAGCAGTTTGCAGACTATGTTAGTGCAGTTCAAAGTGCTTGACGGGTGACTGGCAGTACAAACATGAACAGTAAAACAACTAGAAAACAATCTAAGATAGAGATGATAAAAGTGAAATAATAAAATAGATAATACGCATTACAAGCATTGGAAACAAGAATACAAGAAAGACATTGAGATAAAATGTATAATTGCTGTAAAAGAATCAAAAGTCAAACTAACATAACCGTCTGTTGTTGCTATAGAGTTGCTGAGGAGCTCTTGTTTCGGTACAAACCTGAGACGGTGGACTATGCCCTGAGTCACCTTGACAGCTGTTACAGAAACTGTACCAACCCTGGAGATACTGACAATGGAAGCAGGTCAGTAACACTACTACAACAGAACTTGAATATTTTATGTAACGATACAGTGCCTTACATCATATGCGTCCTCTCTTTTCTGTCTTTTTGCATCTCCTCTCCTTCAGGCCGAGCTCTCGCTGTTCTATCCAGTCCACCGCTGAAGATGAGATCGAGGCAATGAGAGACAAGCTGAATGTCTCTGACATTGACCAGGTGGTGGACCACCTCAGGTAAGCTGCACAGAGCAGTCCTAACCTTTGTGGCTTGTGACTATATTACCTCAAACCTAGTTTGGCAGTTCTGTGCTGCAGTTTCTTATTACTTATCGACCACTATATACAGCCTGAATTATATAACTGAAATAAGCTTTATATCTAGCGCTACTTGTGACCCCTTTTAAAGCACAGCTACGACTGCCTGCAACCCCTCAATGACAGGTTATGTGAGTGATTCTTCCTCTTGAGGTCTATCCAGTTTTTCATAAGAAAATAGGAAAAAGAAATAAACTAAACATGCTTTTATGTAACATAATTGTGTTTAATCACTCCCTGGCCCCTCAGAATGGGACTCCCTGGGTGGTCCTGAACAACCAGCATAGAGGATTAACATGGATGACAACAGGATAGTCAGTGTATACATACTGAGCATTTCTTCAATACAACAAAACATGTCTTGTCTGGCCTGTCGTGCAGATTGTGTGTGTGTGTGTTATGTTCTTTGTGGGGTAGATTCCTTTGTTTAAATTATATAATTAAAATGTGCTCTGTGAGTCTGTAAGTGAGTTTCTCGAGGCTCCCTCATTCCCCAACTCTCCTCGGTGGATTCTGTCGCTTCCCTCCCTCCTTCACACTCCATCCCTTACTTTTGAGGCCCACAAGGCAACACGGTCACTGGGGATACCTTGGAAGAGAGCCCCCCCCCCCCTCTCTCTCCCTCTGTTTCTCTCTCATTCTTTCTCTCCCTCTCGACCAGAACAAAAAGCCCCATTGTCAGAAAAAAGGATCCCAGAGCAGGCAGAAGTTTCTTTTTCATTTGAAAGAAGGGAATAAAGTCTACGATGGTTATGTAACTACAGAAGGAGAAAGTGTGAGGAGAGAGGGAGGGAGGGAAAGGAAAATAGGACACTGTATCCTTAAAGTGTCCTTAAAGAAAACTGTAGAGGATAAACTCTGAGCACACAAGTGCACCTATGCTGTTGTCACTGACTCTTCTGTGTGATGAGGTTGTTCCCTTCTGCTGATCTATCTAGCAAAGTGTGCCTCTCCACAGTAGGCTATACTTGTCAGATTCAACCGCTGCACAAACCTGTACCATTTTTCAAATTTCACATGCTGGCCTTCGAGTTGATCATACTCATAGGATATATAATTATACAATAATTATTATTATTTTAAATTATGTGGAAGCATTTTTACTGCGTAACCAAACAAATCAGAGCCATTGTGACAATAAGCTTTTAACTAAGGTGTTTGGCTGTGTGTGTGTGCTGTGACTATCAAATGCACAGTTTCCACTTTGACCTAGATTTTAGTTTTTGGCTCAATGTTTTCTTTTTAATGAAAAACAACTGGAGTATTAATGATAAACATCTTTCTTTCTATCCGTCTGTCTGTCTGTCTGTCTGTCTGTCTGTCTGTCTATCTATCTATCTATCTATCTATCTATCTATCTATCTATCTATCTATCTATCTATCTATCTATCTATCTATCTATCTATCCTTCTCTAGGTCTTTCCTAATGGAAGAATGTGAAGCATTGAACAGGCTGGTGAAGCATTTTAAGGTAAGAATAACAGGATGAAAGCAGCCAACTACAACTGGCAGCTGAAAAAAAAAACAGCTGCTTGTGCAATACTGATCCAAATCCTACAATTATTTATGGGGAAAATATTTACAACAATCATTTTGAATATTGATTTGTTGTATTGAGGCAGCTGTGAACGGATTTTACAATCAGAATTCATACGATATAACCTTGTAACCATGATGCTATGCTGCACTATATTACAGTATATATGTACAGTAGGATTTTTCTTCAGGCAAAATTTGACCTACTTGATTTTACCCTTAAATGTCCCGAAAGCTTCTTTACATATTAAATACTGTTCTTCTTCTAGTGAAATACTCCTGCCAAAAGGAAATATTCCAGCTGTTTTGTGCATCCTTTTAAAAACATTACTCCAAACTCAGACACATTTGGTTTCTGTGGCATTTTGCTGGGTTGCAAAATAAAGTTTTAGGATTTTACTCAGGCAACATGAGTTCCAGCGGCGAGCGGTGCAAACTCCAGAACCGTGAGTCTAATCCTGACAGGACTGCCCCGACTTGTGATCAGCAAAATTGGTGCCGTTACACAGGTTACACCCAGCGCCCCACCAGCCCGCTGTCGCTCCCAGCGCTGGGGTTTGCACTGGCTGGATTCAGGTTGCTGGGCCTGTTGACTGGGGGTCAACCACACGCTCTCCTCCCGGCGGGGTGAATCTCCTGAAAGCAGCGAGGAAAGATGAAGAAGCGGGTCCTTTTCTCGTTTCTGCCAATTTGGATTTAATCCAATGAACAAACTATCAAAACAACACAGATCGTACAGCCCCCGGTTAGTGGCACAGTAAACTAAGATGCTAACGTAAACTCTAGGCTGACGCCACACGTGAAGATTATAAGAAAGCAGTGTTATTTTCACTGGCTGTTTGGCCGTATTCTATTTGTTATGTTTTTTTTTATAACTGATGACCCGTAGAATGTATGGACCCAGTAGTAGTAGGCTCCTGTTTTTCTGCATTATTACATTACATTACAGTCGCTCTTATCCAAAGCGACTTACAATTCAGATTCTATCACATTCAGGCACAGCTACAATTTTGCAACCTGGGGTTAAGTGTCTTGCTTAAGGACACATCGACATGCAACTAGCAGAGCCGGGGATCGAACCGCCGATCCTCTGATTGAAGGACATCCCTGCTCTCCACTTGGCCACAGTCGCCCCACGTGTTCCCACGAATCATGTGTCTAGACCTTTAATTAAAGACCTGAGGGTGTGAAGCTAATAGAGAGACTTTTCTTGGTTGTCATGAGGTATTTATACCACAAAGGCAGTTAAATATCTCTCTCAAAAGGATCCTGGGGGCAAAACAAATGTGACACTTTCCCTGAAAAGAACCTGTCTCCTCAAGTGAAGGGTTGCTGTCTAGTGCATCAGCAGGTGGGATGAAGCCGTGGCTCGGGTGGCACTGTGCTCTTCTGGCATGAGCTTATTGTGCCATGATGTTGATGCTGTGCCATCATCGTTTCATGGGCTGTGATGACTCATCAGTTCTTGGTGGGAACTGCACTGTAGTCAGCCGTTAGGATCTTCTGTGTGATCTTTAGTTTTTTGCTTTCACACAAATCCTCAGAAAGTTGTTTTATCTGCAAATGTGTGCATGCGTCATGTCCTCCGTTTAAGGTTTCATTTCGCTGCTGAGACAATCACACAGAATGATGTTCTATAGAAGAGGCTTAACACAGGAGGCTTGCAGTTCTTACCTTTTTCTAACGACTGACCAAAAGTTTCTTCTCTTCTTCTGCTGCCACAGGCAAAGAATAATCAGGATAAGAGGAATTCTGAAAGATTTCAACCAGATATTAAGCTGGAAAATATTCAGACTTTCCAACTCAAATCTAATTTTTTAGATCATGATCGTTAACATCCGTTTTGTGATATTTCAAGGCCTGTCAAAAGTTTTTGTGAAGAGAATATGTTAAATGTCATAAAATATCTTGTAACAGTGTTTGCTCTGTGCTGTACATTGCTTTAAATCAAGATACTTAGTGTTGTGCTTGAGGACTCTTATGACTTTCTCACCACCATCACGATTGTTGCAGCTGAAATTACTATTGATTCGGTGTTCTTCCATGCAGTTCAATTGTACAGCTTTTTAAATGGGTATGGAATGGAGCCAAATCAGACATTTAGAGGCATTATATGGTATGAATGAAGCATCAATTTGTCCCAAACACAACTGTAATGATGACCCGACTTGGTCCAGCAGCGGTCCAAGAGAAGCTTCCACATACAAAGATACGCCACACAGTCTCAGTTGTAAAAAGCTGAAATTATTGGCTGCACTGTTACTGAAGCTTTACGTATTGATTCACTGTAACTGTTAATAATTGAGTGCTTTTTTTAACCAGTGTAGTGGACACTACTTTAGTGGGTTAGAGCCATGACGTCTCTTACGTCTCCTTACTTACGTATTCAATCCTAAAGCAACATTGAGCTCTCTCAATCGTTCCCTATCTCTGGCAACATGTCTAACGTCCCCCGAAGTTAAGGTCATGTTGTCCAGCAGTTCTACATCAGCCCATTTTTCATCCCAGTGATGTTGTTCTTGCTTTTTTTCCTGTATAATTGAAATTATCTGTTGGGCCAGAAGACTCCGCTCTAATATGTTTGGGATGTATGTTCTATAACTTAATTTATTTTATCTTTTTCCTTGCTCTGTTGGTGCTCTATGTAACTTGGTTAAAGTTGCCTTCTCTTTTGCTTTTTTTAATTATAGTGCAGATGATGTTGGTTTCGACCTTTTAAGGAGTTCTGAATGCTTTCATAGACACATCAGTCTTATCTGTGCTGCAACGGTCCTCATGCTGTGATGTTTGTTGCGGGTGAGAAATTTGTCACAGGAGTCAGCGGGGCTGATCTTGTTTTACTGGTCTAAAATGCATACGCTAACCCCACTGAATAAAACATCGAAACTAGATAAAAGGTAGATTTGTCAGTCAGGATATTGAAGGTTTTTATGATGCTGGACCAGCTAGATCAAACTTGGCCAGCATGGTTCCAGAAATACAGCAGAACAGATGGCAGCCATCGGTAGAATGGTGACCCTTGTTCTCCTGTTTCTGGTTCTGTCTATGTGGGCTGTGCAGATATGGATTTGGATTCTGAAGATTCATGCATGAGAATAATGACAGTAACAGCTTTCCTAAAAGTATGAGCAAGTTAGCGCCATGGTAATGGTTTCAAACCCCACATGAACCACAAAGCCTACTTTCAGAGTGTGTGTGTGTGTGTGTGTGTGTGTGTATGTGTGTTTCTGCATTAGAGTTGTTTTCGATTTCAGCCACTTCACTGTCAGAGACACCAGACTTACTTCGTCTCTGAAAGACAACACTAGGAGGTTTGGGTTTGAATCCCACTGAGAAAACAGACCAAAAATATACGTTTTAACTGCCAGTCTCCAGGCCCGTGGGTATGTTTGTGTGTTGGTATTATGGACTACATAAATCTGTGGTTGCCAGGAAGACTCTCCATTAGTGTTTGTGCTGAGGAAAGGAGGCTGCCAGTCACTCATAACAAACACAGGAAGACACACTTTTCAATCATGGGCACACACACACACACACACACACACACAGCACTATGGTTTTCATTTGCAGTGGATATAGATATTCGTGGCCAAATTATGATGGAAGGCTGCTGCTCAATCGTTTAGTGGTCACACACATGCACACATTCCTTTTTCTCCCTGTTATTTTTCTCCTTTTTCCTTGCTCCTTTGCTATTTCCAAAGGCTCATGCTTTCTTGAACATGTTAAGTACATTTACCTCCTTTTTTTCCATGTCCACTACTCTCATTAGAGGCTAAATGTCTCCTAGTTTGTGCAGTAGTATCATGTGAAGTACACACAAACTGCATGATTAAAGGTAAGCGCTGCTTCTCTCCGTTCTGTGATTTGTGTTTCTTGCAGGGAAATATTAAACAAAAGTGGCCAGATGAAGTTGATAAATCAGAACCTTCGCTTGCAGGTGAGGCCATATACCAACATGTCGGTGTTTTGCTGCCATCTGGTGGCACTTTGTTATTACTGAAATGTCATTCTATAACATTTATTAATGATACATTGATTTGAAAAACTCCAGCCAAGTTCACCTGCTGTGGGCCAAATGACAGTGAAACTAATTTGAGGACTAGAGAGCAGTCTGTTCAGTCGTTCATTTTCAGAATGATAATGAATACTTGCTTCTTTCTTTTACTCTAGGCTATTATTATCTTTCGGTGGTTTTCTGTTTCTGAGAGTGTGTTGCAATCATACTTCAGAGCGATGGTTTCAGTATTTTTAGACTTTTTTTTCAGATCTCATCACTGTTGTATTTATTGTGTGTATGTGCAGAGTTGAGAGAGCTGAGAGGAGATATACAAATGGACTTGCAGCTCTACCCCTCGTCGCTTGCTGCTTCACCGACAGCTTCTTCCCCTTTCCCTTTGAAGGAATTGAAAAACAGGTTCAAGTCAGTATGCTTTGCTGTTAAAACCCCCAGAAATACTTCAGAGAGCAATAACATTGTTCACAGAGTTGAGGAGTAGCAGAAAATAATTATTTTTATTTGAGCATTTATAGAATAAATAATAACATTAATACAAATAAAAGGGAATAAAGGGAATGACAGGAGTTAACAAAATTTATATCTTAATAAGAAATGGTGCCTCTTAACCCATTCAAGCTTTCTCAATGGACGCACAATGTTGCTATTGAGTTATATCACAAACAAATCATTTAAACTGTACTTCTTTTAGTTGTCTTCGTGCAAGAAAATGTTTCTCAATCTGATTCTCATTCCGATTCCTTTCCCCCAGACTGTCAGCAGGGCAAAAGGTTTCTAATGAGACTCTGCGAGCGTTAAGCAGTACATCAGCCTTCAGGCCACATCCACCTCCTCCTCTGAGCCATCCTAAACCCAGGCCACCGCCGACAGCTCCTCCTAGCAAGGCCTCTGCATCAGCTAAAGTAATAAATAGTTCTTCACTGTCGAGGATTCATGGACAGCATAGAAGCACATCAGCCTCCACTGAACCTAGGAAAACACAAGCACCTATCTGCAACAGGATCACCACTTCTGTCCTTGCAAACCGCCACTTCACCACTTCACTTACAGGGCCTGACAGCGACACTATGACAGTTAAAACCGTTCACTGCTGCAGTTTTTCTCCAGAGTATGACAGTCCCGCTCTCCGCTGCAGGACCCCGACTTCTTATCCAAGTTTTCAAGTGAAAACGCCAAGAAACTCACCCATCCACGAAACCCATCTGTCATCTCATCGCAGTATTCGTGGCTCGAGCAGAGAGTGTGATTTGTCGCAGATGGAGAGAGCAGGCAGCCCTCTCTGGAGGTCACGAAACGTCAATACTGTCCCAGCATTCCCTCACTGTGATGCAGGCAGTTACAGCAGCAATAGAATGGACCATTCTGTGTCAAAGGCTGGGAAATCAAAGACACAAAATGGGCGACAGAATGGTACATGTGGAAGTAGTTTAGTGTCAACAACAGTGCAGACAGATCATGACAGAAGTAAGAGTTCTTCTGAGAGTTTTCAGTCAGAAACGAGAAGCTCTCCTGCACAAACAGGAAGTAGGGAGAGCGTCACTGGAATTGATAGAAATAAAAATGGTCATCTTGGGAAGGAGGTAACCCGTCAGCAAAGCCTAGTAGGCACATGCACCCATCCAGCACCTGTAATGATAAATAGACAGTTCTTTACTTCCACCAAAAGACCACTTGAGAGCATCACAAGTCAGGCAAAAGGTGTCCAAGAGACAGAGCTGGAGTTAATCAGCAAGTTGTATCAGCCAGTCCCTCCAGCAAGGGTGTCAACTTAAAGTCAGCCACAGACCAGACAGCTGGGGCTGAAGATAGTCTGGTAGGTCTGTTGCAGGATAAATGCAATGGGTCTCTTGTTTTGTCTGTTATGAGATTTCACACAATTAAACATAATATATACTTGACGTATTTTTCTTTCTGAAAGACATCAAAGAATCACCATTATATTTTAGAAAATGATCACTAGACAGTCACATGATCTTTTGTTTTACTCTGGAATCATTTCACAGCTGTGTCTGGTCCTCACGTTTTTGACCCCCATAAAGCATGAATAAAGATGAACTTGGAACACTCATCGATATTCAGACAAGGAATGTGAATGCTTGTAATTTTGGAGAGTCTAACAATTTGATTGAAAAATGTATGTTAACCCAGGGAACAGCCTGTGCAGCCCTGCTTTCTGTGTTATAACTACTGAAGGACGTTTTAACTGAGCATTAGAAAATGACAGTGTATAAATAATAACACCAATGATGGCTCATTTACATTAAGCTGCTTAAGGCTCACAGAGCCATCGTTATTGCAACACTTGCGCTTCACGCACTAAAATAAGTCAAAATGCCTGCTGCTAAATAAAGGACTATGTTACTGAAAGTGTTGGCATGTCATGGAAGTAATATGAAAACACTAAACTACCTAACATTTGGCACAGTCAAAAAGACCATTTGGGAGTCTTGCATGACAGAGCTACAGAAAGCTGGAGTCAGTGGTGTAACATGCTGTTAGATGTTGACTACAATGTGTTCAGTTCACATAATAATAAACTGCTCCAGTTGGACCGGCACACCCACACTGGTGTTTTAAATCAACCCTGATGAGATCACCACTCAGGTTAGGGATTATGTCATGTCAATCAAACACACTCTGTAAGTACTGAAAATAATACATATGCAGTGAGTGTACATTACGACTGTCAATAAAAGGTGGAAGAAAACCAAGCAAAACAACGTTCAACAACATTTATCCTACTCAGATTTCCAAGAGGACAATGTGCCCAAGCTCGCAAACAGATTTCCTAATAGTTGGTGTTGCTGTGTTTGTCTGCGTTTTCATAAGTTTCGTTTTCTCAAAGCCACACCTCCACTATATTTACAAGAATACGAACTGATCCAAACTGGTCCAAAACAACTGACTCACAAGATCTCTCATCTACGAAAAGGTGAGATGAGATTGTTCCCTTCTTTTTCTCTTTTACCAACGGATTAGAGACGAGACTGTGCTTTAATGTCATATTACATCATCTCTGTATTTTCTCCAAAAGGCTGAGGTGCCTGGCTGCTGTTGACATGTTGGTGTTTCTTCGTGCTCTTACAGTAACTAGTTTAATACTTATGTCATGTGTTTTTATCAGTGGTGTACAGTAACGAAGTAGAAATACTTCGTTACTGTACTTAAGTCGTTTTTTTTGGATATCTGTACTTTACTTTACTACTTATATTTCTGTTGACTTTTACTTTTACTTCACTACATTTTGCAAAGAAAACTGATACTTTTACTCCGATACATTTCCCCTGAAACCTTCGTTACTCGCTACAAAATCAAATCTATCTTTAGAAACAAAATGAATCATGAGACCAGCGTCGGGGGCTGTGGTGGACCAGAGACTGCGAGCAAGCAGGTTTGGTGAATCAGTTAAATCATTGGTTAATCACGTTAATGCGCAATTGCAAACAAGCGCTCTCAAAGCCGCGGTGTTTTGATTCCCAGTGATGCCCAGGATGCTATATGCTATAGCTAGCGAGCGACTACATGAGCAGAATTCCACTCTACGATGACTGATTTCATGACGGAAGCGGAAATGGAAGCACCTCCTACTCCCGCAACAAACGACGGTGGTGACGAAGACCAACACCCGTGGATCGCTAGCGAGTTAGTGAGCTGAGGAAGTGTTGACAGTTGTGCAGCACTAGTTGGCTAACGTTAGCTATAGCTAGCCACCACACCATAGGATTGACAGGAGCCGCGAGAGCGCAGCATCAGGGTTAGCATCAGGGTTAGCATCAGGGAAATCCTTCCCAGCTGTGCGCAAGCTGTGTGTGAAGCTGAACACACCTCTACCTGCCTCAGCGGCCTGTGAAAGGCTAGTTAGCGTCGCAGGACTAGTCTTCAGCCCAAGAAGAACGAGACTGAATTCTCGCAAAACCTTTGCCTGTTGTGTTCAATTCAGTTTACAAGGTGTCCTTTCTCACAACACTGACCTGATGCATCAAGTGGATATTTTTTGCTGAACACAACATTATGCATTTGCCCTCTCCATCCTCTAGTCGGAATGAGCATACTTATAAACGCACTGTTACAACTCCTTCATAGTGTCATATTGCTTTTCGGAGAATTATGATGATAAGTTCATAGCAGATGCAAAAGTATACTTATGTACAATATATTATGTTGAACATTGTTGCTCCTGGATGGATCACAGCCAACCCAATTATTGTCAACACAGCTCCATGTCCTTGGTGATGGTGCCACAGCGCTTAAAAGAATAAACTTCATAATTCTCAAAATTCTGACCCTTTGCTTTTTTATTAACAGCATTTACTTGTACTTTTACTTTCAATACTTAAGTACATTTAATATCAGAAAATTACTTTTGATACTTAAGTACAATAAATATCAGATACTTTAAGACTTTTACTCAAGTAGTATTCTAATAGGTGACTTTTTACTTTTACTGGAGTAGTTTTCCAGTAAGGTATCTTTACTTTTACTCAAATATGGCTTTTGAGTACTTTATACACCACTGGTTTTTATCAGTGCGCATGTTAAGTGTGAGTGCTAAACTGCGGTGGAAGTAACGAATTACATTTACTTTTGTTACTGTAACAAAGTAGTTTTTTATGTGAAGCCTAGTTGTACATTTTCAATACCTAAGTAGGCCTATTTAACTCAAGCATTGTACTTTCAAGTCGCATGCGTTACAAAAAGTCTAATGAAAGACAAATCCTAATAGCCTGCCTGCCCTAAATCGTGTGACAATTATATTGGTCTATAATCAGTGGTCCCAAGCTGTTTATTTAAAAGTTTTATAAGAAGCGGTTATATGTAGTATAGTATTGCTTGTTGCATCCGCTGCAGTATCCATTGCTCCTTTAATTTATTTGTTGTCATTTTTGTGTAATTATAGTAAGGCTATACACAGAAAGAAAAAAATGATATATATATACACATTGCTGATGGGTTGTATATATAGGCTGCACAGTACGGTCTAACTTGTGGAAAGGGAAGTATTATTTTACATAAGTGTGTTTTTACACTATTTACTTGAGTGTAATATTCTAGCACTCTTTCCATCCTGGTAAATACAGTGTTTTGATGTCTTCGTTTAGATGGATGCGATATTCAACATACTTCAGCAGTTCAGGCTGGAATCTTCCTACAACCAGTTTGTCCAGTTGGGTGTAAAGGATGCAAGAGATTTTTTGGATGGAATAACGGATGAAGATCTGAACAACATTGGTGAGATGAACCTCAACTTTATAAAAATGGCGTTGATGCAGTGGCATGTGGCCTTGGTTTTTCTTAAAGTTTACAACATTCCAGATACATTTGTACATGGCAATACAATCCAATGCAACATTTCTGTAGTAAATACCTTTTATATATCATTTTATCTGTTTTTAATTTTGATTGCTGACACTGTCGGATGTGTAGATTAAAAGGTATTGTATTTTTGTAGGGTATAGTTTGTGTCTTAGTTTTATTAGATAGCAGTTAGTACTATAGTGTGTACTTAATTATTCAAATCTCATTTTTGCAGGTTTAAGTCATGTTGAGAAGAATCGTTTTTCATCGATGAAAAACTTCATTCAAAGACTGAGATCTCTGGAGCGCCAAGTTCAACCTGTGGCGCCTGTGCAAAAGTCGTTGGAGTCATTCAGTCTGCAGTACACATACCCCAAATGTCCTCAACCAATACACATTGGAGGTATGAGGAACACATCTGACAGCCACTGACTTGTTGATCACTGTGTGCTGCGTTGTGTTAAAAATAAAACGTGATGATTGTGTCAGTGATCGTTGTGCAGACATCCACGTATTATGTTGAATTACAGATATGGATCCAGCAGTAAACACGGTTGAGGATCTGATGTTGAGGGTCGGCCATCTTGAAAGTGTTGGTAATTCCAAAGGAGTCTGTCTCTACACAGTCGATGGGATGCCCTTGACAGATGATCCCTTCTTCAACACATGTGAGTAGACCTGAACTCCAACCCTCAGAATCCTGAAGTGCTCATTACCCCCTGATGCAAAGAGGGCTTTCGACAGGGTCAAGAGGAACCTTCTCTTCCTGACCCTGTTGAAATCTGGATTTGGCCCCAAATTAATTTCTTGAATTTCATTTCGTCATGCTGGAATGGGATTACCTCATTTTAAACTCTACCTTCGGGCATGCATTTTATGCTCACTCTTATTTTGGCTCCATTGTGGCTCCACTCTTTCGGCTGCCTGATACCTTTTTTGCCAGCTTTATTCTGTTGGCATTGCACACCACACAGTTATTCTACAAATAGTCTTTAAGTTTCACACTCACTTAAAATTTGGTTTAAGAAAACATTTTGGTTGGCATTCTATCTCTCTTCGGTCTCAGTCTCTCTTAGATCTGGTGATCATCTGCTCCTAATCTTTTTTTTTTTTTTTTTTTAAATTGAGGGTGTATTTCCAGCATTTAAACATTTAAAACTTAATTTGATTCGCCCCGCAACCCCACGCATTGCTTCAGATATTTACAGTTGCGTCAGTTGCCATTACATCATTTCCCAACATTCCAAATGGTTCACTAATGAAATCCATATTTTTGTCAAACAAAAGCAAATTTCTTTCCAATATTTACAACACAGTTTCATATGAAAGTTGCACTACCTTCTTGGAATATCTAAAAAAACAGACCGGCTGAGCGATCTTGGCTTAATTGTCACAGGAAAACTATGGACAGAGGCCCGGCCACTGGTACATTCCTCCTCAGTTTTTCTCGACATGTGCTTTTGCAGTTTAAAGTAGCACACCGATAACACTTATCAAAGAAAAAGCTCTGCTAAATGTATCCAAATATGAATCCTGCCTGCGATCGGTGTGGACAGTCACCAGCTTAGTTAGCTCGTATGTTCTGGCACTGTCCGAAGTCAAAGGCTCTGATTTTGTGCTAACCAGTTCAACGCAACTGTAGAGTACCTGTAACTCTACTGTAGAGTACCTGTAACCCTACTGTAGAGTACCTGTAACTCTACTGTAGAGTACCTGTAACTCTACTGTAGAGTACCTGTAACTCTACTGTAGAGTACCTGTAACCCTACTGTAGAGTACCTGTAACCCACTCTACCCTTATGAAGGATGTCATGCAGCACCTGCATTTGGAAAGGATTAGATTCTCATTGAGAAGGAGTGAAGACAAATTCTACCAGATTTGGCGACTTTTATTGATCACTTTATTAATAATTCTTTGCTTATCTTTCCCACATACTAGCCTATATTTAAACACGATTCAATAAAAGCACTATTGACATATTCAACATGCAATTTTTTGTTTTCTTTCTTTCTCTCCCTCCATTATTCTAGTTTTATTTATTTAGATACATTTTCCTGTTGCTTATATTTGAACTAACTTGCAGTCAATTAAGGTATTGCAATCTAATTTGCTATTCTGCTTTCTCCTCATATGTGTATGATTATACCTTATGTAATACATTCATTTGTACCTGTACTTAACATATGTCCTGTTATTTTTTTCGACTGTTTCTTCGTACAGGGTCTCTGACAGACAGACATATTCAAAATGGAGCTGTAATTTATGCCATATTTACACCAAAGGAAAACCTGAAACAGGCTCCTCAGATACCAAAACGAGAGGTTAGAGAAACCTATGGAGACGATGTGGTTCGATGCCACATCATGCTCAAGGTGCGTTTTAAAAGCAATGGTCATAATGCAAGTAATGATGATATTAACAACTGATAAAGTAAATTAATATCAATGCACACACTGAATGTGTTTGATTTATTGCCCTGCTTTTAAAAATGAAATTCACCGACCATATGTTGTACTGACATTCTGGGGGTCACATCAACTATTAAAACCTTTTTTAATCAGGGACAATATAAACATATACAGTATTTAATTCAAACAAATCTACTCTTTTTAAACATGTTTTATTAACTTTTCTTCATGCAGGGAGACTTTGAGGTGACCGTGAACTTGGCAAGTGACACCATAACCAGTCTGAGGCTCAAGCTGGCAAATGAAAGTGGAATCCCAACACATGTCCTTCATTACAAGTAACTCAGACATACCACAGCAAGCATTGACCTTACGGATTGTGATCCTCTTTGTCCATACAGTCCGATTTCTGTTCTCATGCAGTTCTTCTGTGCTTTGCTGTATTTGCAGAGGTCAACATTGCGGTGGTGACACTCTTCAAAGCTGTGGGATCTCTGAAGGGTCGACGGTTAACTTCTCGTTGTCCACCTTTTCTGACGAGACTTCACAGGATGAGACATTCTTCATTAATGATTTTGTGCCTTCAGTCCAACAAACCCAGAAGGGAATCAGTGTGTTCTTGTCTTCACTTTATGCTGTTGTAAGTTTTATTTTATAGTACATAATCGTCACCCTATTTGATTAACCAGCACCACCCTCCCTGTATCCTGCTTTGAAATGCATTTCATTTAAATGTTTCTTCTTCTAGAAACAACATTACACACCGGAGCAACGGAAGAAACTGATTTCCTACGTAAGAAAACTGACTGGATGTAACCCTCTCGCCCAAAGTTTGCATCAGCTACTCTGTAGAAATGAAACACTAACCAGGAATCAGAAGGTAAACGATATGAACCAGTGCAATTCTGCCCTAAAATATCTATTGCGTTGTACTTCTTGAAGTCGGTGTTCTCGTGTGCTGCGTTACATATTTAGGATTGGCACATTTTTATAAATGTTGATGTGAAAAAAGAATTCGGGAAGATGTTTTCCTGTAATTTGGGTGAAGTGAATCTTGACACAGTGACGTGTGCTTTCACCAGTACTTATTTCTTCTGATATACTTGTTTTGTTTTAGATTGCAGTCTTCGAAGGCTTGTACATCCTCTTTAGAGAGCTTTTGCCTCAACGTCGAGCACAACGAGGGGAGAAAGTCATTGAGGACCTGGAAGTCTTTGAGAATTCCCTGTACTGCTGGGCTCATCTGCTATCGGAAGCAAAGGTATGAGGATACAGTGGTTTGACTGATTCCTAGCCGATGTTTGACCACTTAAGTAATGATCGCTGTGCCTTATTTTGACAGAACCAGGCTGCAGACCATGAGAGCTACGCACCCATCGCTCTCACGTCTGAAGATGGCAGCCGCCTCTCCGAACCAGTCAGAGTACCTGGAGTACCTGGAGCCTTTGAACGAGCATACGTTCTCGAGAAAATCAAAGGTAACACTAAAATAAAAAGCCAATATATAGAATATGCCCACCGTTTACTGATATGTGACCCTTTTTTACTTTTATTAGGGAGCAGCTACAGAAAAATGGTTAATGCAGCAAGATATGGACATTCTTCTGCCTTTTTTTTATGTCATCAGCTTCACTTAATTTTCTATCATTTTTGTTTAGATGGAGAGAAAATTCCAAATTGCACTGAAGAGGTTTTGCGAGAAACATCAATCCAGAGAGACAGTGACGTTGAAAAGGTGCTGCTCAGTTTGCCGCCGTCCATCAGAACATATCCTCTTTGGATTGCCCAAGACAAGACAACGGGTCAAAAGTATGTATCATCAAAGTTTTACTATTCTTAAAGGTACTTTAATGAGATGCTTTTTTTTCTGTTAAACCTTGTTTGTCACCAACCTTTACGATTAAATGACAGCTTTCAGGTAAACATGGAGAAGACTTTTGGAAGTATGATGGAAGAATTAAAATCTCCGGACAATCGACACCTGAATGTGACCCCACCTCTACACTTGAAGGAGCTAGGACAGTGTGGGTCACGCCTCGTTCTTCTGAGTGAAGGTACTCTATTAAGTCACAATATGAAGGGGTGTGCACATGTACTGTATGTTTCACATTGTTACCTTAAAGGTTGAGTATTTATGATGTGCATTAGAACATGTGCACCTATTGTTTTCTATACGAGCCCATAAACTGGATCAACCAGTCGTGGAAAAACATTTACTCAAGTACTGTACTTAAGTACACTTTTGAGGTACTTCAGTATTTCCAACCTATGCTCCTTATACCTTATACTCTACTACAGTTCAGAGGGAAATGTTGTACTTTTTGCACCAACACATGTAATTTACAGCTGTAGTTACTTAGATTTTACATACAAAAAAATGTTAATATTAAGCAGTACATTTGAAGCCAGTCTGAAAGGATCCTCCCATTGGTTTCTATGTTGCTTCTGATATTTAGTACCACATGTTTGTAGGAAGCTTATTAATGTACATGTTTTTCTCTTTTTTTAGACAACATTGCCATATGTTTGTCTCAAGAAAAGGGATGCCCCGGCATGATCAGAGTGCATGATTGTTTGGATGGCAAAGACAAAGCAGTGGATGTGAATGTGTTGGCAGCCAGGTAAGTCCCTCACAGTGTCCACTGGGCCGCTCCTCAAACTATATGTTGAAGTGTCCGAAGGACGTGCAGACTTTTGGAATGATCATGTTAATGAAAATGCTAGAGAGTAAATCGCGGTTACTGTTGGAGATGATGAGTAGTGAGTGGAGATGTGTGGGGGTTTCACTAATGATAGTTTTATAAATGAACTGATACCAGTGGATTAATCTGCTGGTATGGAGTGATGCCCAGTTGACTAGAGAGCACAGGCTACAGTGACAAGTGTTGAAAGAGGCACCGGTGACAAAGCGGATGGCGGTTTGTTAGATAACGTCTTGTTTATTGGGAAGATTTTGGAGGCGGACCTGTAGATTACATCCCCGGAGTCTGAGATGGGAAGTACTGTCGTTTTAACCAGGGAGTGCTTCTCAGAGTGGGTAAAGGAGGCTTTGTTACAGAAAACCAGTTCTTGATCTGACTTTGGAAAGCTGAGTTTATGTGCGTGTTAAAGGTGAGCGAACTGTCTAGCCAGATAACATAAGTACTTGTAGGAATCGACAACTTGGAGTTCTGATCCATTCAGGGAGATCTTTTAGACTAGAGGGCTGATAGTCTGTGGTAAGAGTCGGTTGAAAACTGTACATTGTGTTTTGTTTGTGTTCAAGAGAAGGTAAAGGTTAGAGAAGGTAATCAACTACTGTGGCCATGTGTGCTTTGTCCGTTCTGGGCTACTGTAGAAATATGGAGGCGCAACATGGCGAATGCTGTGCAGATGAAGATATGAAGGTTTCATTCTATGCTAACGAAAACAAAACGATTCTTAGTTTCAATTGATTATCTACTATTAGAGACAGTTATGAATATTATATTTAATTTTTGCCAATAAATCCCCCTAAATGCAACACATTGGTCCTTTTTAGTACAGCAGCACACAACATAGTGAGAACAGAGGTAGCAGCATGAACTGTGAAATGTCGTGATGAGGTGCGTTAATGGCCTGAGCATAAATGTTGCTGCTGATGTATTTTCTTTTATTTACTGAATGAATCTCTGTAAAAGTCACAACCATTTTTGCTGAATGTTAAGTTTTTGGCACTTGACACAGAACTGGTGACCATAGAGATGACCGAACATTTGTCACAACCAGGACTCCAAAAGAGGCCATACTGGTAAAACTTTGTCTGTCACTTGTTTGATTATTTCCTTTGAAGGATGTGGGACTGGCTGGGGAACACAGGACACATTCATGTTATGATTATTGTTGACGTGAATTACCATTAGGTGCTGATAGACACAAGCTCCTCTATGGAAGAGGAGTGCTACGTGGGTTCAGGAATAAAGAAGATCCACGCTGTGAAAGAGCTCTTTGACAACTTCGCCACAAGGACCATGGCTTATGATTTTTATCACGTCATCGGCCTTGTAAAGTTCGACTCCCTGGTGAAGGTTCTCCACACATTTACTGAAAATCTGGAGAAGTTCAAGGTGAAGTCAGTGTATCACACCTTTCTTAGATCTGTGCTTTATTTTAGTGCGGCTTACGTAGTGTAACACAGTAATATACCTTTTTTTCATATTTCTAGGAACACATACGCAACATCGAGGCAAGTGGATGTACTCTGCTGTACGACGCCCTGCGACGTGGGGCGTCTGAGCTGGAGAAGGTCCAGACGAGGTTCCCAGATTGCAGACTTCGCATAATGTGTCTCACCGATGGAAATGATTCTGGGTACATTTCCTCCTCTGTTCTAACCGGTTATGGTACCTTATTTATACTTGACCTGTTTGCACATATATTGAACATCTTATTGTTAGCTGGAAGAAATTGTCATGGAATTCGAATTGTCATGCTACAGATTGTGATCGCCTCAATTCTTTCAATAGATCCTCCATAGAGCCACATGCTGTTACAGTCAAACTCCTGAAATCTAACATCATTGTGGACTCCATCCTTCTTGGGAATGTGGATGACAATATGCTGCATGGAATCAGCAACGCAACAGGTTTGACATCTTTGAAAGACGGTTTCCTAAATGATATCCCCGTGATGTAGTTACTAGATCATGCATAAGAAATTGTAACAAAAATAATTAGATATACAGGATATACCATCAAACATTCTAGAGATCTCATCCACCTCACAATTGTACATTGTACATGTTGACTTTTATGTCCCCTTAACATTTTTATGGTAAGGCTCAAGGTACTTAACACCAGACGGCTCAAGCATATATCTGCTGTTGTTGGTACAATATTTTAGCTTATCACTTAGTTTCCTAAATTGCAATTCCTGTAGAAGAACTGCAGAAAGCACATTCAGGCATTTATGTTTTTCAAAGTCTTAATTAGCCCTCAGTGTTCTAGTAAACGTCTTTTCAGGAAGTAGACTCTATTGTAACTCAAGTGTGTTTGGATGTGAGGTGGAGAGAATAACAAGTGTCTGAATAGAGGACTGTTTAGAGCACATGTCTATAAAAACACATTGCTTCCAGGTGGTTGCTGTTTCAAACCGCAGACAACCAAAGAGGGTCTGAAGCTCTTTGAGATTGAGACAGTTCTGTCTGTGGAGCAGAGGAAACTCAAGGAAAACCTCGACCCGTCTTCCATCAGTCAGGTTTGTTGTTGTTGATCATTGGCCACCATTCTGTTCGAAGTGATAAGAAAATACAACTCATTTTAATATGTCGTCCTGATGTTTAAATTAATTTGTTCCTGTCGTTTTATAGAGTAGTTTGTCAAGCATCTTCAAGACTCACGGGTATGATGAATGCCCAGAGACGTCCATGCCAAGCCAGATAAACAACAAAGTGACAGCAACAGCAAGGTAATAGAAGGAGTTGAAGGTGTTAATGATGATTCTTCAGGTGTTGGCATTACATTTGAAGCATTGATGATCTTTCTAAATAGTGCTCTGAAAAAGAAGATTCGTGAGTCAGGGGGTTGGTATCTGGAGGACAAACGAGTCCTGGAGGAGCTGAAGAGCCTGCATTGCAACCCGCATCCCTTCTTCAGAGTCTTTCCATCCGAGTCGGACTTCAGTGAGTGGCACGTTGTCTCACGTTGATGTCATGCATTTTAGTTTTTCTCCATGGCACATGACTGTATTGTCATTGTATAATTATATATACAGGATGTACAGGATAATTCAGTGCAGTAGTGTGTATACCCCTTTTCAGGTACACTTATTCATTCAAATACATGAATACAAAAGTAATAATATAAGCTTTTTCTGATATTTTCAGCGTTCTGGAGGATTCTCATGCAAGGTCCTCCTGACACACCCTATAGGAAAGGAGTGTTTGAGCTCTACTGCCAGTTTGGTCCCGACTACCCAGCCAAGCCTCCAGTCGTCCGCTTTGTCACACAAGTATCCTGTAAAATACAAATCACTGAAAGGTTATTTGTGATATGTAGACGACAATTTTTTAAATGATTAATAAAAGGAACGTTATCTGTTGGAAATGTATGTCTTCTTAACACAATGACAGGTGTACCACTGCAATGTCAACAGTGTGGGCCGCATCTGCCACAACATATTTGACCGCAACTACAATGCCCACATCACCATGAGAGAGATCCTAGAAGCTGTGTATGGACTCCTCATCATCCCCGAGCCTGATGATCCACTGGACAGGTGAATTGTATAAACACATTCATAAATAAGTAATTATGGGCACCAAGAGATATTTCTTATCCGGAGGATGTTTTTGACCCGTTTCCAGCGTCATTTCAGTTTTGTTCAATGAAAAGCGTTGTGTACACTGGAAATCCGTTGCGTCATTGCATTTATTTTGATGTAGAGACGTCTCTGAGCTCATGATTAATTTGATGACTTACACTGAGAAAGTGTTGAGGGAATTATTGAGTAATTCACACCCAAAGTCCAAAGTGTTTAGATGAGTGATTTAGTTATTTTGTTCTCAAAATGGCCTCCACTAACATTAGAAAATGCATGTCATTTAACCACAACTAATACAAAAAAAGCATTTTGTTTGATATTCATGATGCGAACAACTGACGGATATATGACGCCGTTTAAATATAGAGTTTGATGTTCATGACTGGTGCCGCCTCTGCCCTGTTTCATTCTACCTGGTGGAAATAGAAATCAATGACCAACAATTTAGCTAATTGAGCGCCAAAAACACAATGCAAGCCTCAGCAGTACAATGAAATGCAGTTCGGTACAGTAGCTCTTCTGAAACATACTGCCATTATAACGCCCTTTTTCCCAATCTTGTCAGATAGGCGTTTATTCAACACTGTTGGACAAACTTGTATTTTTAGACAACTTGTGTTGAAAAATTTGATGCGTTTGACTTGCATATTAATTTTTGTTTTTGTCTTTGGAAGCATCTTGGCTGAAGAATTCTTAACAAGCCGTGAGACGTATGAACGAGAAGCAGAGAGACATACAGAGGAAACGGCAGGAAAGTCACTGGATGACATGGAGAAAGTAAATGAGCTTACATATACATATCTGTGTGGATACATGTCTTACAGATTGTACAGACATAAACATCCTGTTTGAAAGTGTTTCTTTCCTTTGTTTTTATTTGAAGACATTGGGGGGGCCGGTGCCACAGTTTATACCTCAACATCTGATCTGTCCACTCACCAAGAAGATGTTTGTTGATCCTGTGAAAACAGTGTACGGTACTGTGTATGAACGCAAAGCCATTGAGGAGCACCTGAAGCAGTGAGTTAATTTACTAAGAAAGAGTTGCCTGTATGGTTCCCTAAATGACTGCTACCCATTTAGAAACCACACAGTTGCATATGGATCCTCCTTGTAGTGGCTTTCAAACACAAAAAGTCTCATCAGCTGCATTGCCATATGTGTTCACAGTCAACTGAACATGTTTTTACAGACACCGGTACGATCCGACCGCTGGCCCGGGACATGAGCTTGAAATGAGTGACATCACAGCCAACCAGGACATGAAGAAAATGGTGATGGATCATCGCTCTCGTCAAATTCAGGTTGATGTTACAGCCGAGTAGATTTACAACAGTTTCTCATGAACAAGAAAATCAACCAGCTACTCAATATTTTATCACTGCAAGTTGTTCTTTTGTGATTTATATTTGCATGTTTTATATTTGCATGTTATTTTGTATTTGCATGTTTTATATTTGCATGTTATTTTATCTGTTGGTTTGGAAAGGTTAGTGCAGGTTGTTTTTGTTAATTTGACAGTGATGGACGTCACTTCAACTTTCATGAACAGTGATGGACATTTACTTGTTTTCTCTGTTAGGATGCTTGTGTTCGGAGTTAATTGTTACCTTTTCACCTTTTGTTACCTTTTGGTTTTTCAATGTTCTTTTGCATGCTGTGCTATTTTCCCTACTTACTGTTGTATCATTTAAATGTGTTGTAAATATGTTGAATATAGTGAATAAAAGTGTAAGCTCAATGCATGTCTTAATGTTGGCAGAAGAAAAAAAACGATTTGACAAAATGGATGCATTTTCTTTCGACAACTTCAAATACACAGAAATGCTTTTCTTTAAGTAATCCATGTTGAAGCTGATGTTTACTGATCTGTTGCACACAAGTGAGATTTTTATGTTATAAGCGAAAGGAGCAACTAATATTTCTCCCTTTAAAGCAAAACATGTTAAAGATCAATATTCTCTCAAAAAAACGATTCTCAGCAAGAATGGTTGCCAGATTACGAACTCTGTCACATGCAAATCAAAATTGTTTAGATGGATAGATGTATGACGCTAATAAAACTGCAGAACACTGTTGAGGATAACAACATAAAGGTAAGGGGCGTAAGATTTATATTAATTTGCTGATTTTAAATAAGACAAGTGGTTCACCAAGACTCCTGCAGTCTAAGCGTTTATGTGCAGTTACAGACTTACTTAGGTGAATTACTATCATATTGTTCATTATTAGTATTAAGTGTAGATTGTCCCACAGTCGTTAAATTCATTATACGGCTCTGGACCGCCCATGCTACGGTACGCTACGGTACGGGTCCAGGGAACCAATCACAGCCGCCAATTCTGCCCTTACGTCAAGTCCCAAATGTGAAAGGAAGTGAATCACTCTTCAAAATAAATGTCCTTGAATTAAGAAATATGTTATACGCAGGGTAGGCCCGCACACACGATAACCAAATGTGGTTCAACAACATTCTAAACGGATTCCTGTAAGTATAAATGTAATTCTTGTTTGTGCGCCTTGTTCCCGCTGAATGTATAAACGTCTACGACATGTATGCTTTTATTTTGAAATCTGTATCCGGAAACGTGTTAATCATTCACGCTAGCTTTTCGTTTTTTACACAATGCTGGATTGAATGCTGCCTACTCGGCAGATCTGAATGAATACAGAAGGAAGACGACAGCAGGTGAGTCTTAATGGATCTTGGATATCTCCACTGTAACGTTACGTTTGTTACGCTCACCGTAAAGTCGCACTGAAAACGATCGATACTGCCTCAACAGGTCGCTTTACTTCCGATTTCTTAGTATCGAACTAACTAGCTAGACGAACTGCAGTGAGTTCGTGCACACTAGTTCTGCAGCCATGGCTCTGGTTCACATAGTTCATTAGTATTAATTATTTTATTTATACATCAATCTCATAGTCTTGGTAAAGACACATGTAGTGGGGGGATCACTGTCGGTAATATTTAAAACGTAATCTTTTCATTTACTCTCGTGCCCTGAGAGGTTGAACCAACACCTGACATTCCTGCGGAACCTGTTAACACTTCACAGGTATCCTGAGAAGTCACTGAAACTGGTTTTGAAACGAGTCATATTGAATCTCAATGGATCTGTTGTCATGTATATCTATTAAGTAATTATGTCTTTGCGTTTGTTTTGTTTACCACTTACAGACTTGTATATAGACATTTTATTGTTGGCCATTGGTGCTTTTTATATATAAATATATGCAACTGTAAACCTATTTTTCACTGCTTGTCTACATAACAATCCTGTCTATTCTTAATCTTTGTAAAAAAACGGAGTCTAAATTCCTTGTATGTGAACGCATATTTGGGCAATAAAGCTTAATCTGATTCTGTAATGCAAAAAAATAGAACTAGCTTCAGAATGGACCACGTCAACATTAGGGGGAATTTACCATGGATTAAACTCATTAAAACACCAACATATTGCAGGTTTTGGTAGTTAAACGCTACTTTTCTCTCACTTTGGTCAGATACATTAAATGCTGATTCAGAGCCCCTGTTTTCTGTTTCTGAGCCAATTAGAATATTATTTCATACAACACAACCTGGAATAAGATTCAAATTAATTTTGAAAAATACATGAGTACATGCTGTTAAATAATTAATTAACATTCACTTAGCTCTAGATTTTGTTTTCAAACACCATTACTGTGATACTTATATTTCAGCTTGGTTTCATAATTACATCTACGCATCAAATTAACCCCCAGCTTTCCTCTGCTTGTGTGCTGCGTGTCCTTTTCTCCAGAGAGATGTGGTGGGTGCTGTGGGTGCTCACTGCCTTGCTGGCTCTCGTCTGCACCCTGGATGTGGGGTACTTCCTCCGGGCAGCTGCTGTGATCCTTCGGGCCTGGTTCCAGCCTCCAATCCGGGACGTCACAGCAGAGCAGATCCAAACAGGCCGGGTCGCCCCCCGCGACATTGACATGTGCCACATGAACAACGCTCGTTACCTCCGGGAGTGTGACTTTGCCCGCTTCTCTCTCTACATGCGCAACGGGGTGTTCAAGGCACTGCGAGCACTCAAAGCCTCAATGGTGGTGGGGGCCACCACCATCCGTTACCGCAGGGCCCTGTGCATAGGTGAGGGGTTCGAGCTGCGGAGTCGCATCGTCACTTGGGATGACAAAGCTTTTTTCCTGGAGCAGAGATTCGTGTCGACAAAAGATGGTTTGGTGTGTGCCGTCATGTACTGCAAGCAGAGTGTCGTACGCAGCAGCCCAGACAAGATCATGCAGCACCTGTGTAAGCGGAAGGTAAGGATCGAATGATTAACACGCATGTCAATTGCACACCTTTTTGATTATTGCAGGACTTTGAGTCATTGGTGTGCTCCTCGCAGGTGGAGTGCCCTGAGTTTCCAGAGGACCTTCAGCACTGGGTCAACTTCATCTCCGCCAGCAGCCAGGCCCTCAGAGCCGAGAGTGGACTAGACGAGAAGAACAAATAAGACTTTAGATTGACTTTTTGTATGACAGCTCAGGATTAAAAGGACATGTGTCTTCTGTTCACAATGACTCGACTTAAACACACTTGTGCCTACACGTCTGAATTTAAGCTTGACTAAGACCCCGATACCTGTCAAGACTGGAAAGAACAGCACACCAGATTATTTGGAGAGGCTGAAAACGGATTACTCATTCAGTAATAAAGTATTGTAGAAAGTTAATCTTATGTGTATAATGGTGGCAATAAAACTGATTTTGAAATACTATTGCATTTTTATGCCTTCACTATGCATATGGGTGCACTATCTAGCCCAATATCACACATACAAATTATTTTAAATGTATACAAAAAAATGGACTCGAGGAGCTTCACAATCTGTCCTTGGACCCTCGCAGCGGGGAAGGAAAGCCTGTAGAAGTGAACTAACTCCACAAGATGGCAGTAACGCACCACGAAGTACGCTGCCTTCAAACCTTCAAAGAAGAGGAAGAAGAAGAATTAACTGTCGTCACACACCCGGAAGTTATGGCCAATCATTCTACCGGTTTCTTTTAAGTTGTAACGCATCTGATGGTAGCATTCTCTTCTGGACGCATGGTGAGTTTTGCAGCTATAAGAAATAATTTTACCGTATCTGTGGTTATTGTTTAAATTTCCCAGAATGAGAAAACATTTAAAAAGCATTGCGTCTTCACGTGACAGAGTGTGGTCTCTATTCCGCAAGGCCACCTACTGCTGGTAGCTAGCAGCTAAGCTAACAGATTTTGGCTGTCACAGCAGGTTGCGCACCGTTCATTTGAAACGAGCTGTCGAGGGTGAAGTAGGGGCTTATGGGGAAGTGATGCTTCCGTGTTTTTAGCAATGACATGAAGCCAACGTGTGGGATAAAAAGCACGAACCTCTTGTTTTCTCCATCTGCACTGACATTGATGAGGTCAAAGGTGCATTTGATTCACGTTAAATATTGTGGTCATGAATTTAGAAAACACAGGAAATTGATGTCAACTATGGAATTTATAATGTATTATAAATTATTTGAATTCTATCCTGCGCTATATTGCTGTACTAAACCATATATTATGGTACATTCTTACTAACTTTCATCCTATACTATATCCCATACTCTATCTTACTTTACCATATTATGTTAATATATAACTGATTTTGTGGCATATTCTGTTATATTTATGATATAATTCTATACAAATACTAAGTACCGTTAATTAAAGGTCCCATACTGTATGAAGTCAGTCTTTTTTTTCTAACTATAAAAGAAGTCCTAAGTGCTAAATAAATACTGAGACCATTTTACAGTTTTAAATGTAAACACTGTAAATGCTTCCCAGTTTATTGCCTGTTGCAGTGTGTGGGAATAACATCAGCTGACAGGAAGTAAACATTGACTAGTAGTTGTTTTTTAATAATATCAGACCGGTGTACTCTGTTAACATGAACTTGCTGACCCTGTACACTACTACACCAGTTTTATGTACCATTATTTGTTTAACTGTGCTATTGCTGTCCCCCCCTGGTGGTCAATAAAGGAATATTGTACCTTTTTTGGATTGTTCCAGAGAGATGTTGCTGCTGGTGCTGGGTGCCCTCCTCTTGCTCTTCTGCAGTCTGGATGTATGGTACTTCCTACGTGGGGCCAAGGTGTTCCTCCAGGCGTGGTTCCAACCCAGAGTATGGGACATGCTGGCTGAGCAAACCATTGACGGCACGGTCCTTCCCCATGATTTGGACTACATGGGCCACATGAACAACTCCCGATATCTGAGGGAGTGTGACTTTGCCCGCTTCCACCATTACATGCGAAACGGGCTGTTCATGGCCTCGTGGAAACTGGGGGCCAGATTGGTGGTCGGGGCATCCACCATCCGGTACCGGCGCTCCCTGGCCTTCCGCGAGGCTTTTGAGATTCGGACCAAATTAGTGGGATGGGATGAGAAGGCGTTTTACGTGGAGCAGCGCTTTGTGTCCAAGAAAGATGGTTTTGTCTCTGCGGTCATGCTCTGCAGGCAGAATGTGGTGCACTGCAGCCCGGAGAGCATTCTGGAGTTTATCTGCAAAAGGAAGGTGAGCAATAGCTGCAAATAGAGAAAAGTATTGGTGTTGACTGTAGTAGGGTTTCAACCGATAACGGTTTTCATTATCAATAAATCTGTTGAGATTTATTTCAATTAATTGTTAATTTGTCAAAAAATGCTGAAAAACCCATTACAGTTTCTTAAAGCCCAAAGCGGTGGTATCAAATTATTGTTTTTCCCCCCAAACAACACTCTCAAAATATTTGGTTTACTATGAATAAGAAAGAAAAAACACAAATCTGCAAAATTCAAAAAATAGACCTAGAAAATATTTTGCATTTTTTTTATTGAAAAAAGAATAACCGACCATCAATAACTGACCATCAAAATAGTTACCAGGTATTTTTCAATCAACTGATTGATTGATCAAATTATCATTTTAGCTCTACTGTTTCTAAGAAGTGGAAAATGTCCATCACTCATTCATAATACCCGAAGTTAAACCTAAAATATTACGCTACGTTATGTGTGACCAACAGTCCCAAATCAAAAGCTATTCAGTTTTCCATCACACGAGGCAATTTTGGGGAGCTGGAACCCGCAAATGTTTGCTTTCAAACTTGTTGCGATTTAAATGTCTGTCTATTGACTAATAGTTTCCGCTCTGGACTGTGGCTTTTTTCTGCTTGTTTTTTTTTTTTTTTTCGGGTAATTTTGTGTTTGTGTGCAGATCGACTGCCCGGAATTTCCTGAAGACCTCAAACACTGGATCAGCTTCATCTCAGCCAGCAGCCTGGCTCTGAGAGCAGAGAGTGGACTGGAAGAGAAGAACAAGTGAAGCCCCACACCATGACACCCTGACACCCTGCATCACCAGTGTAGGTCCACATATCACTTACATTGCACACACATAACGGTCTATATATATATATATATATATATACATGCACACAAACAGTTAACATCGTAGAGAGTTTTTAGTTTATTTAAAATATTCCATTTATCTCTGTTTTTGAGTTGATCCTTCCTTCTGTGTATTTTTGTTTGATGTGAACAGAAATACTGAACTTACATGTATGAAAACTTGAACTATAACGGTATTCCATGTTTTAAAATGTATATGCATTGGGATCATATTTCTCTCAGAATAAAGTGACACAAGAAAGTAACTTTATCCGTGCAGCTTATCGACTGGCTTTAGACATCTTTATTTTCATTTTTGCGAAATCCTCTAAATCAGATAAGCATGTAGAGCAAAAGTTAATCTTCCACTGACATCAATGCATGTTTTAAATCAAACAGAAGATGTCGTTGTGCCTGTTTCTCTTGATTAGCCGTAGTTTACAGCTACATTTGCAGAGAATTATAACTTTTTACAAAAAGCGTAGGTGTGATGAAATACTTGAATGGACACCATGTACTGTCAATAGTTTTAAACTTTCCATCAGCATTTTGCACAAAGTAACCCAGGTGAATAGACAACCAGACTTCCTGTTAACAATCTGAAAGGGAATATTCGACTTTCTTTTACAGACTGCGTAATACATGCATTTAAAGTGTGGGCTTAGTGATTGGAATTGTGTGTAATTTTAAGAGAAAGTGCTCGTATATTTAAATGAACGGGCATAATAAGCAAATGCTAATGTGAGGTTGCTGGCAACCTTTCAAAACCTGCAACGCATGGTAAACACTGGTGTGGGATGATACTTGGCCTTTTGAAATCTGAAACCTTCCCCTTTAATGCATCAAAGCTTTATTTTGTGACTAAAGTAATGTATTGTTCTGTATGAAGAGGAAACAAAATCAATTGTTAAAGATATGTCTAACCTGTTATGTATGTTGTTGACACACTGAAAATCTTGCTTGATTTATTTAAGTCTGAAAATATTCCCTGTCTTTTTTTTTTCTCCATGTATATTATTTATGATATATTGAAATGAGTTAATGTACCAAACTTTATTTATTGTGTTAATTATTTAAAGGCATTTTGAATTAAAAATGCATTAGAACCTATGTTTCTGTGACTGCTTTTTGAGTGCTTGTTATTCAGCAATTTCCTGTGATTTTGTGGTATAAACACCAGTATTTGTACCTCACTTTAATATTGCAGCTGGTAAAAGTATAGCTGATAATACATCATTATGTATTTTCTTTTTGTATTATGAATCTGAATCAAATTGAACAGTACAACATATACCACTCGAGTGTCTAATTTACTCAACTAAAGTACAAGTACCTCCTTGGATAGGGGGAAACATTTTATTAAACCTCTTAAACGCTCAAGAGCAACTGAAGAGAGAATCCTCTCCCAGGATGGGCAGAATTGCAAAAGATGTGTGTACAGAATGAACAACATACTACATTTACAACATATTCATTCCATGTGACAGAAATTATATATATATTATGAGAGAATTATTAGCACTAATAATAGCAGAAATGATAATGTAAACAATACTACACATAATAGCATCAGTGGACATACTAGATTGATAATGAAAGCTGTAATAAAAACTAATAGAAATGTGACAAAATTATAATTTTGTCAGGGTGTCAGGCAGGGTAATGGCACGATAACGATCCGGGATTAACCACAATCCATAGAAACCTGCGAGGAGAGAAAGCATACAATAGCATGTCGAAAAAAGTCATTGTATATATAGCTGTTTAAAAAAGTCAAAGCAGAGTATGTCAAAACATGTCATAGTATAGCATGTCGAAAAAAGTCATAGTAAATATAGTAGCGTAGAAGCGTAAATATACAAGAATAGCCTACACAAAATAAGAAACTTTCATAACAGTCTACATATTTTATATTGAGTGAGTATAACGATCAAATATGTAATACTATTGAAGTTACATTATTTTGAAACTCAGTGATTTTTAAAGATCAAGTTCCCTGCTGCAGTTTCCGGTAATGCCTCTCTGGCCACGCCCCCTCTTTTCACTTCCTGTAAACAAAGCAGCAGCTGTGTGTCAGTCAGCTTCTTGCGCTTTTGCTCATTTTCTACACCAACTTCATCGTTTTTCCTACGATGGCTCAAGCCGGACTGGTGCTGGACAAGGACCAGTTCAACTGCTCGGTATGTCTGGACGTGTTGAGGGACCCCGTGACCATCCCCTGCGGCCACAGCTACTGCTCGGACTGCATCCAGAACTACTGGGACCAGGACGACTACCTCGGGATCTTCGTGTGCCCGCAGTGCCGGCACAACTTCAACCCGAGGCCGGTGCTCAACAGGAACACCATGCTGGCTGACGTGGTGGAGAAATTCAAAAAGACGGGACTTCAAGAAGCCGCGACGACGACGCTCGCGAGTCAAAGTTTCGCCGAGGCCGACGACGTGGAGTGCGACGTGTGCGCTGGAAGGAAAAACAAAGCCGTGAAGTCCTGTCTCGTGTGTCTGGCCTCCTACTGCGACGTGCACCTCCAGCCCCACTACGACTCTGCTGCCTTCATGAAACACAAGCTGGTGTCGGCCTCCAAAAAGCTCAGAGAGACGATATGTGGCCGACACGACAAGCTGCTGGAGGTGTACTGCCGCACCGACAAGCAGTGCATCTGTTACCTGTGTCTGACAGACGAACACAAAGGACACGACACGGTGCTGGCTGAGGCCGAGATGCAACAGAAGCAGGTAATCAGTTTAATCAGTTCACCTGGTTGTCTCCTGTAGACCTGGTCTGATGTGATCTACGCGGTGTAAAATCATTGACATCCTCCTTCACTTTAATAAAGGTATCTTTCTCAGGGAAAAAAAAACATATTTTTAATATAAGTATAAGGGAAAAACTCAGGAATTCACAACAACACACACTTTACAACCCAAATACATTGGTTCCATATTAAATACAGCATCAATTGCATAAAAATGCCAAAAGTATACTATCTTCAAAACTTTTTGTAATGTGTAGAGTCTTAGGTCTGGTCTACTGTGGTCTTGATGGAGGAAAAGCCCAGTTTAACAAATACAAAGTGGGATTTCAACAGTCTCTGTAGGCTCCATGTAAATCTAGTCTAATATTAAACATTAAATATAATATTAAACCTACTACTACAACTACTGCTTTACTTTTTGCTATAGACCTCGACCGATGTGGTCTGGTTGGAGGATAAAAAACTGCAAAATTGCCCTTTACGTCTGTTTTCCCAAAGGTTAAATATTTGATTCAATACAAGTGTGGGAAAACGCCAAAATTCACAGCAACACACAATTTATAAACACAAAATAAAAATAAGTACAAGTGACATTCAAAATGCTCAAGTATGTTTTTAAAACACGTTTTTGTAATGTCTAATGTGGTCCGGATGGCAGTGAAATCACTCTTTTATTCAGTTTTTTACTATTAAAATAAAGGATTCACAAATCTTAACAGGTCTTTATGGTCTCCATGTTAATCTAGTCCTGGTTTGAATATAAATCCAGTGGGGTTTTGGACTAAACCTGGTCTGATAGAGAAAAAGCTTATATATTTATGTTTCCTGTTCTCACAAATAGAGGAAAGGTTCCATAAATCTGAAATGGGGTTTTAAACAACACCAACATACACATTTACAATATAATGAAATCAGTTGTCGTTGTATTTGCAAAATTAAAAAGTGGTGTAATGAAACTATGCAGACACTCAGATATCCATGAAGTAAAAGTAACTTGTTTTCCCTCAGGGGCAGCTTGGTGACATGAAGCAGAGCTCTCATCTGAGAATTCATCAAAGGGAAAAGGGAGCCCAGGAGATCAGACGAGCCATTTTCTCTCTCTCTGTAAGTGCCAACATCCTGCTCGTTCTGATGTATAAATACAGTAAATCACTACATATGTGCTAAAAAAAAAAATCCTTCTCTGTGTTGCTTTGTGTCTCCCTCCAGCGTTCTGCTCGGGTGGCTGCTGCGGAGAGCGACGCAGTCTTCACCGAACTGATTCGGTCGATTGAGCTGAAGCGCTTCGAGGTGAGAGAGCTGATCAACGCCCAGGAGAAGACGGCCGTCAGTCACGCCGAGCAGCTGCTGGAGAAGATCCAGAAGGAGATTGCCGAGCTGAAGAAGAACGAGGCCGAGTTGGACAAACTGTCCCACACTGAAGACCACGTCCGTTTCCTTCAGGTACCAACGCTCAGATCGATCCCACCAGTGGTACATTTACTGAAGTACTACACCACAGTAAAGTAGCGCTACCTCAATATTGTACTTGAGTATTGTCTGCCACTTTATACTTTGACTCCATGACATTTCAGAGGGAAATATTGTACTTTTTATTTCACTACATTAATGCATGACTTGTATGCAAATTAAGATTTTACCTGCAAAACACATGATCAGTTTGTAAAATATGATGCCTTATTCAGTGCACAATTAAACATTGTTAATGAGTTATTTTAGTCCTTAAAGTATTATGTTGTTGTTGTTTTTTAAAGTAAGAACTAAGTGCTGTCATATTCTGAGCTGTTTCAAATGCAAACAAACTTGTTTCATAACATCTCATAATACTATTGCAGCAAACTGGCCAATTTCTCAAACTCATTTGTAAAACATTTTTAAAAACTTAAGTATCTTCACTGCAACAACAGATCTTTTTTTCACTTGTTTTGGGAAAACTAATCACATAAAATACCATCAAATAATTCCTTTTTTGCATTATTGGTTATTTTGATACTTTAGGTATATTCTGCGAACAATACTTCAATACATTAGGAGTTTTACTTGTCTTTTTAGTGTAGTGTTACTACTTTTACTTAAGTAAAGGATCTGAATACCTCTTCCTGCACTGGATACCAAACAGGCCGATTTTCCAGCAGAATAACACTCTTTGTCTCCGTGTTTGTTGTTCCAGAGTTGTCAGTCTCTCCACGCTCCACCTGTGCTGTCAGCTTTGCCTTCGGTCACTGTTGACCCCAACCTCACCTTTGGCCCAGTGATGACAGCTGTGGCCGATTTTAAAGGACTGCTGCAGGAGGTCTGTCATGGAGGATTTGTCAGCATCTACGAGAAAGGTAGATACAAATGGGTTTTATGTCAAGTAAGTGTTTTTATCCGATACAAATTATTGTGTCAACTCTGTGATTGTTTTTTTCTTTTGTAGTGAGAGACATAGTGATTGTAGGTCCCCCAAATCCTGATGTACAGCTGGACACAACGCAGCCCAGTGATGGTGAATCAGCAGTACAGATGGAAGCAACACTAAGTGAGTATAAAACTGCCCATGCTCGTTTTTAGAATAGGATTTTGATGACTCAGCCAATTACAGCTTTTAAAACAGGTGTTGAAACACCCCAATACTTTTGGTAGTCGGTGATGCATTCATCAACTAGTACTAACACAAATGTGATGTGAATATCAATAAAGTCAAGCACTTGGTAAATAATTCCATTCCATCACCAAACTGCTCTAAATTGATATTTAAACCCTGAAGAAACACTGTCTGTGCATCCCATCCGTACCACATTATCATTCAGCAGGAACATCTTACTCGACATGTTTGTTCATAGTAGAGTTTGCTGAATCTGCTGAAGTGGAAGGATGACAGTGCTGCAGATTCTGACAGTTTGGACAGCTGAGACTTTGCAGTAACAGTGTTTGTTCTCTTTGTGCTTGCAGTGATCCCTCCAGCTGGTCTAGACCAAAGTCCCGTGAACCCTCTACTTGGCCTAGACCAAAGTCCCGTGAACCCTCTCAACCCCTTTCTCACTCCTGGACCCACTTTTTCCTTCTCACCATTTGGTAAATAAAGCTATTATCAAAATGTACAGGTATTTAAGCATTAAACAGTGTGTAGGGAGCATTTCACAAGAGAAAACCAAATGCAAATCATGTCACAAATGTTCATTTAAGTGATGGGGGGAAAGAAAAAAAACAAATTCAGAATATGTTACATAAATCCTGCAGTGGAGGAAGAAGTATTGAGATCTTTTACTTGAATAACAGCCTTATTATCACACTATAAAAAATACAAATAATAGTCCATAATAGTACATTTTTTAATTTATTTGTTGCCACAAGGTGCTGTAGACTACTAATTCCTGTTCTGTCTGCCCAGGCACCAAACTCTCTTCAGGATCCAGACAGAGACACCTTCAGCGACGCTCTCACCCGAGGAGGAAATAGACTCGTAGTGGACATCAAAATCAACATTTCACACGCAGCTGCATGGACTGAATGTCATTATACCTCAGTGTTCTTCTCGCACTGTACTGACTGATTTGTATTTTTAATAATTCATCCTTTGTTATTAATTTAGTTGCTGTGTTTGCACCAATCAGCTATACATGCATCTCGCATTGTAGTGTAGATGGGAAAGAGTAATTAGAGCCACAGCATATCATATAGACAATGCATTTACTTTAAAGTATTAAGCAGCATGAAGCAGGCCTGACGCACTACATCTTATTTCAGTATTTGAAAGGAAATTGCCTTGACGCTCAGTCAGATTTTACTTTTTTTAAATATGGTTATGCTTTTTATAATGTTTTAACTAAAACTACAAACAATAATTTTGCTTTACAGACATGTGTAGTAAGATATTGGGATTTCTGAATTGCTGACATTAAAAAAAACACGTACAGACTGAACTCTCATGGGTGGTGTTTATTTGCATGGAGACTGGTTTACACTTTGAACTAACACTGGCAACAAGTTTCTGGTGTAGAAGTGGAATAACAGGTTGACTGCGAACACACACACACACTGCAGTACTGTTGTGTAAAATGTTATACATCAAATAACAACGATTGGTCACCATCGAATATGAACTCACGTAGGAGGGAGAGGTGGTCCAATAGAAGGTTGTTCCTTCCTCAGGTAGCTCTATCTGGTTTCCTGGCTGTGGATTGGATGCTTCAGGTGAAACCCGAGAGGCTTTAATCAGCACACCTGTCGGCCACGCCCCTCTTTGTCCCTTGTAGTTTCGGTTGGGCTCGTGTGGGGAAAATGGCAGCAACAACTATTTCTATTGAACAAGACCAGTTTTGCTGTTCGGTGTGCCTGGAGGTGTTAAGAGACCCGGTGACGATCCCGTGTGGGCACAGCTACTGTCTGGACTGCATTGAAGACTACTGGAACAGGGCCAAGCAGAAAGGCCAGTACAGCTGCCCGCAGTGCAGGCAGGTGTTCAACCCGAGACCGCTGCTGAGTAGGAACACAGTTCTGGGGGAAGTGGTGGAAAAGTTTCTACAGTCTGGAGTTCAAGCCGCGGCTCAGACCGTGGCCAAGCCGGAGGAAGCGAAATGCAGTGTTTGCACAGTGAGGCAAAGCAAAGCTGTTAAAGCCTGCCTTGTGTGCTCGGAGTCTTACTGTGCGCCTCACTTGAGAGTCCACGAGGACCGCTTTCGGGGGAAGACCCATAAATTGATTCCCGCTGTGGAACAGCTGAGGCAGAAGTTGTGCCCGCACCACGATAAAGCATTGAGGCTGTACTGTCGCACTGACCAGCAGTGTGTGTGCTCCCAGTGTGCTCAAGAGAGACACAAGGGCCATGACGCAGTCTCAGTGGCGGATGAGAGAGCGACACACCAGGTGAGTTTGTTGATGCTCGAATTCTCACTTGTTTCGGAACAGCTTGAAGTACAGTTGGATAAACTTAGATTACAATTTACTTTATAAATTATATAAATATTGTATAACATGTACGTTTTCGCGGCATTATTTTTTTTCCAGAGGATGTATACGAGTATGCATTTGAATTGTAAGGGACACGTTTTGTTGAGGCTGAGAAGATAACCCTGATTACATCTCTATTACATTATCAGGGTTATTTTAGCTGTTGGATTGACTGGTGGAAGAACTATTGGAATAATTATACTTTAGTCAAATTAGAAATACCACAGTGTAAAAAAAATCTCTATGTGAAAGTCCTGCATTCAAAATCTCACTTGGGTAAAATAACAGTAATAGCATTAAAACATACTTTACTACATAAGAAAGACAGTAGGGTAACTCATTCTGATCCTGTATGGGGTTACAAACAGAGACACAATAGATCCATAAGGATATGTCTTATACAGTTTAGTATAAAGGCTTCAACAATTAAAAAATGAAATGGGGGTGTACAATGTGATCTAGTCCTGCAGCCATGTCTTGTCCTCTGATGTTACTGTGTCAAATGTTTAGGTTGATAGACCAAAGGCCTTGCAGTGCAATCCAATCCTTTTGATTGTAAAATCCAAACTTTCCATCTTGAAAGTCAACCGTGAAAAAAACCTATTGGACTGAGCAGCCGGAGGGACTCGGTGTGATATTCATCTTTTTGTATTCTCTCAGAAAAAACTCCAAGATGCCTCTTTGAAGTCTGTGCAGAAATTGAAGGACACGGAGAAGGAACTTAGATACGCTGTCCGATACATCAAGGTGAGTGCGTCTTATAAGAGCTTTAAATGTGCGGTTGACATACTGCCCTTC